GAATTTTAGTATATTTAGTAAGTCTATTTCTAAATCTTCAGTATAAGTGTATCTTCAGTATCGAATCTATAGTACGCCCATAAAAACCAAGTGTTTTTCAGCTAGGCTCAAAAATAGGGTAGAGGCACACATATAATAGCCTATTACTTATGCATTTTTGACGTTTTTGAATGCATAAACCAAGCGGACGTCATAAGTTGACCTCAGACAACAACATGATAAAATTTAAAAAGCCAGTTCATGACCCCTTTAATAAAACTGAGGTGTTTATTCCTTCTCAAGTCTTGAGCTCCATGTCATACTATTAGAGCCATAAAAAAACTGATGCATCAATTACGATGCTCAACAAAAACCACATATGCAAACTTCCTTTTTAATAATTCAATAAATCAAATTATTATTTCATATGTCAGACTTTAGAGGGTTTTACATTTCTCTCGAAGCTCACCTTCTGCTTCTGTTTGTGCAGAGCTGCTTCTGAGTTGTCCAACTGCAGTTGCCTCTGCTGTTTTTCCTTGTTCAGCTTCTCATTCTGAGCCTGAAGCTGCTTAACCTTCTGCAGGACGTGACCCGTCAGACCCACGGTCCAGTCGTCTCCGGCCCAGCTCATCGCTGAAGATGCTTACAGACTGAGGTTTTTAGAGAGCTTGGCCGATCATCTTCCAGCGCTGAAACGGAAGAGATATAGAGCGGTCTGGCTTGAGTTGTTGTTCATGAGGATCCTGTGTGCTGCCTTAGGGGAGATACTCTCAGCTGTCTGTACTCGTTTCAGACCAGAAAAATCAGTTCACATACTTATCGCATTCACTAATGACAAAAATGAACCTTATCTGCATCTTTATATAAAGGAAAATCACAGCGATCGTGTGGGTGTGTGTGTTTGTCAGAGTGTTCATGGAAACATTCTTAAGGGACTTCTGCTTCCAAAACACCAACTTAAACCAAAAACAGAAGATTTTGTCATCATTTCCTTATATCGTGTCTTTCCAAACCTGAATGATGGCTTGTTTTCTTTGCAAGACAAAAAAAAAAATATTAACAATTTGTACTTGTTGTTTTTATTCATGCAACTACAAAGAATGGGGACTGTCAGTTGAACTCAAAAACAAGATCGGTCTGATTCATAAATTAATCGTTCAGACTACCCTTTTGTGAGCTGGGTCTATTGTTTTACTCAAAAGAACACAGATTTGACATAGACACTACTCTAGCACGGGTATATGTGAAAATTGCAAATGCATTATTGTGGTTTGATACACAATTTTCATAAGTCATCAGAAGGATTAATATGAAAGCTGGTTTCAGCCATTCATTGAATAAAATATTTTAAAAAGTAATTGTGATTTTTTAATCCCTTTTTTAAAAACTTTCTCACAAATCGCGAGTTTACATCTTGCAATTCAGATTTTTCCCCCCTCAGAATTGGACTTCAAAACTCACAATTCTGACTTTTTCCCCCTTGCAATAGTGACTTTATTTCTCAGAAGAACTATGAGTTTTTATCTTGCAATTTTGAGAAAACATGATGTAAACTTGCAATTTCGAGAAAAAAGGTAAAAATTGTGAGATAAACAAGCTTTAAAGGTATGGTTCACCCAGAAATGTCATTTCTGTCATTTATTCACCCTCAAGTTGTCATAAAGCTGTATGACTTTTTCTGCTGAACAAAAAAAAAAAGATATTTTGAAGAATTTGGGTAACCAAACATTTGATGGACTCCATTGACTACCATGGTATGGAAAAAAATATTGTGTGTGTGCGTGTGTGTGTGTGTGTTCGTTCGTTCGTTCCGCATAAGAAAGAAATTCATACAGGTTTAGAACAACTTGACATAAGCTTGAGTAAATGACAGGATTTAATTTTTTTTTATAAACTATCCCTTTAATGATAGTTGTTTTGTTTTTAAGAGCACATTCACTTTCATTATGACAAAAAGAGTGTTCTGCAAAAGAAAGTTATATGGGTTTGGGACGACATGAGGATGAGTCAATAAAGACAGATTATTATTATTATTATATATTAAATGAACTAGGGGTAAACTATCCTTTTAAGAGAACTTCCAATGCAAAGGTTTAAATCCTGAAGTGAATAGTCCCACAGACACACACATACAGTGAAAGTGTCTATTTATATTATCACTCAACCTCCTGTATTTGGTTTCTCTTCGCAGTCTCCAACAGTATGAACTGGATTGCTGAAAGAAAGGAATGATGAAAATCCGGCCTGTGAATCTATAAGAATTGTGAAACTAAACATCCGATTTGTTCCTGAATTTCCATTAAAAATCATAAAAGACCCCATTTCAAATACAGATGACGCCAGGCTGGGATAATGACCATCAGTAACGAGATGAATATACACGTTGCACGTTCAACAACCAGTCTTACCAGTATTCGCTGTATAATTACGTATACAAACCTCAGCAGATTTATGAATCCTACTATGGTGAGTTTTGGGTCATGAATATCAATTACACTTCGTGAATGGAGGAAGCGAGAAAGGCTACTAATTAATATTCATGAGAAGAGCCTTCGCTTTAGTAAGATTTATAAATTCGCTGGCGGGGTTTAATTAAACTAGAATCTGTAGACTGCTGGAAGAGCTAGTAAAAAACTAGTTTATTTTGTGTGTAAAACAAATGCTGACTATAATCCTGTCAGGTAAAACGAAATGCTTAACGTTAAGTGAAATCAAACAATGTGGCATTACTTACCAGGACTTCTGATATGTTGATCTCTCAAACGCTGTGATCCTGTTGTCTTGAATGCCGTTTACGTGTCTGTTAATACAATACAACCGATATGTATATCTATAGTATCTGAAGCGTTTGACCGTTTAACGTTAACAGATTGTCGTTATTTTCAACAGTCAAAACTGAGCGCACGCGGTCGCTGTTTCTTGCGCCCCTCAGAACTGGCTGCCGAACATGATTTGACGCGAGGCGTGGGGGTCCGTGACGTGTACAAAGAGGCGGAGCTTTAAGAGGTAACCAGAAGTGCAGTGGCACCCACAGGTCACGTTTTGTTTTGTTTTTTCAAATAAATTGATTTAACACTGAAAAATGATATACATCAAATTAAATATTATGAATTAAAATGTTAAGTTGCTTAAATTGAGTACACAAAAATATTTTAGCATTTTATCCCAAACTGTTTTACATTATTTGTAAAGAGGAAGAAAAACATTGGACACTAGCTAGTGCTTGTGTCAGAAATTAACCAGGCATTGGGGCAAATATATAAATACATAGGCTCTACATACAAAAGTGTGATGTTAAGAGCTGAAAACGTAATGGAAATTTCTATAATGAATTCAATATGTTTGTTATACTCAATCAGTAGCCTACAGCCTGGGAAAGTTTTTCAAAATGAGTAAAACACTGATGGGTTTAGTGTGTTTGTAGACACAATAGTGACCTGTAGCCAGCATTTAATCTTAAATAAAGGTTATTTATTGGCATATGTTTCCATGAAGGACATTTAACAGCCATGGAACTTTTCCATTGGACAGATGGCTCTTTATAGTTGAAAAAAATATTCTCCTATGTGGCATCGCTGTGAAAAAACACTTCTGGAACCTTTATTTTTAAGAGTGTATATTTTCCTATTTGAATCTTTTTGAGTCTAGCTTATATTCAGTGATTTCATTTTATACTCGACAACCAAATAGACTGATTCATAATGGGCAGCACACAAATTTCAGTTCCAAACCTATGAGTTTCTTTCTTCTGTTGAACACAAAAGACGATACTTTATAATATATATTTGGTAAATGCCGGTAATCCAACAGTTGAAGGCACCCATTGACTTCTTATTATGTTTTCCTTCTATGGAAGACAATGGGTGCCGTCAACTGTTTGGTTGCCAACATTCTTTAAATATATCTTCTTTTTGTGTTCAACAGAAGAAAGACACTCATACAGGTTTGGAACAACTTGAAAACATGAGGTTTTTGGGTGAAGTAAATCAGTGCTTTAAAAACATTAAAGCCTTCAGAAATTAGGTACAGAAGCGGGATGCACCTTGACTATCAGTCATGCATTATAGCCTGATTGGTCACTTTCACTGGTCTAATCCACCAGCATAAACAGCATGTACGGTAATCAGATTATCCTTATTGCCGTGGCCCTTGTTTCTGAGAAGAGTGTAGGAGTGCAGTGTAATCCATGATCACACATATGAATATTAAATCTCCGAAGTGCTGAACAGACTGGAAACCCACACAGCATGTACAGATCTGTTATCTCTCCATCTTTCGGTCCTGCTTGGTACAGATACGCAATGATTAAGACAGCGTGTGCATTGAAAGCGGGTTACATAACTTCTTAAGTACCTTTGAGTAACTGATGTTACCACCTTAACAATAGAGCTAATGGACACTTTATACAGCTCTGCCTTTTACAAATGATTACAATGAAACAAGCTGCTAAATTTCTTTGCTTTACTTTGCTTGAAACGTAAAAGTTACATTTTGTATCACAAATTAATCCATTAGAAATTCCTTTTTATAATATTCAATAGATGCAATGCTACAATGTTATTTGTATATGCATTAGTTAATAATGCATATAAATATCTATCTATCTATATATATATAATGATGCAATGCTATAATATTATTTGCATATGCATTAGTTATAATGCATATAAATATCTATGCAGTATAAATATATATAAATGATGCAATGCTACAATATTATTTGCATATGCATTAGTTATAATAATACATATAAATACTGTATCCATCCATATATATATATATATATATATATATAATGCATTCAGTGCACACATGTGCTGGCAGCTCAGGATGAGCAGGAGGTCACACTGTATGCAAGGTGTGTGTTCAGCGCACTAATCAGAGGGCTAAATACCAGCTCACATATTTATATGGGATTACATACACATTTACATTGTCTAAATCATCGCAAAGGAGAGCTGTCTCAACCGGAGTGCTCAGACTGGAAACGAAAAACCCTGGATTTTGAGATTTTGGTTCCACATATATTGCACTTCGAGTCCAATTTGGAGACATTTGACATTAAATCAGGAATATATTGTCAACATTTGAAAACTCACATCATCTGAAAGGTAATACCCTTTTCCTCTAACTTGTTTTTAAATGTATATGGTGCTTTATTTTTCACCATAATTTCAATTAATAATACTAATATGCATCCCATACAGGCAGTATACTGTACTCCAGAGCAAATACATTTGACATTTAGTCATTTAGCAGACGCTTTTATCCAAAGCGACTTACAAATTAGGACTAAATTAAAGCAAATCATAGAGAAGAGGCAAAAACAATTCAAGAAGTGCTTAAAAAACAAAGTGCAGGCATTTCTCAGAGTTGCATTAACCAGACAAGGGAGGATTAAGGAAAAAGGTTAGATCTGTGATAGATTTGTAAGCGTTAATGCCTTGAACTTGATGAGAGAGGTAGCCAGTACTGATTCAATTTGCACAATTGTGCACATGTTTGAATATCTAAACTATTATTAATTGGATAGTCAACCAGACAATTATCCAAATTCCTGCAAAGACTATATCAGGGTGTTGCCAGTGTTATTTAGAGGAATTAAAAGTCTGCATATTGAACTAAAGTTGAGTAGGACACAAAGCATTAAACGGCAAAAAAAATTGATTAAACCAAGCTCCAGTACCTTACTTTGCACTTAAATTTGGACTTGTGATCTAATAGTCAGATATATCTTTAAATAAATAAGTACAATTCAAAAATAAATCAAAATCATTTTCACACATGAATTGGCTTCTCTGAGTCCAGACCTTAAATCCATTGAAAGTCTTTGGGATGTGCTGGAGGAGACTTTACAGAGTGCTGGACTCTTGCATTGTCAATAGATGATCCAATCATAGACTCTTAAGCATTTGCCTAATTAAATCCGAATAGAAATTTGTGTTTTGTTCGGGCAGGGTGTGTGACAGACAGGCAGACAATGTTACAACCTGAACTTCATATAACTCAAACCTCTAATGGGTTTTTGCTCTCACAGATGTTCCCCTGGTCAGCAGTGTTCTCCCTGGAGCCGAAGGTTCCCGGACAGCGCACTCCAGAAGAGCTGGTGACCAACACTTTGATGCTGGAGCTGGGTGCCATGGTGAAACGGACCGAGCGGATCCGGCTGGAGAAGGCAGCGGAGGTGCGCAGACGGCGAAACTCTTCCTCTGCAGATTACAGCTGGCTGGCCGACCCTCAGCCTCGGGCCCCCTACGAGCTCACGCCGGGAGAGGTCCTGGAACTGCAGGAGCTTTGTGCCCAGATCCCACCTCAACAGTGTGGGCCGGTCATTGTCAGGTAGTTACTGTCAGGTAGTATCTCATGGGTTACTGGGATACTCGTATAGGTTTTATTAATAGTTTGAATTCGTTTTTATATTCAAAGCATTTTTAACCTTTGTTAACATTAGTTTAATCAAGTACAATCACAGTGCATTAACAAATGTTAACAAAAACAAACTTAGTATTAGTAAATGTTGCATTTACCATTGACAAAGATGAATAAATGCTTTAGAAGTATTGTTCATTGTTAGTTCATGTTAAAGGAGTAGTTCACTTTTTTTTTTTTAAACTTTTGCTGATAATATGTCATCCATGTCATTCTTTCTTCAGTCGAAAATAAATTAAATTAGGTTTTTGATTAAAACATTCCAGGATTTTTCTCTATACAATGGACTTTACTGGGAACCAAATGGTTCAAGGTCCAAAAGACAGTTTCAGTGCAAACTGTTCAGAGGGATTTAAACGATTCCAGACGATGAATAAGGATCTTATCAAGCGAAACGATCGCTCATTAAAAAAAAAATAACAAAGTTTAAGTTTTATAAACTCAAATGGTCGCCTTGCTCTGTTCTGTGATGCACTGAAACTGTCTTTTGGACCTTGAACCGTTTGGTTCCCATTGAAGTCCATTATATGTAGAAAAATCCTGGAATGTTTTCATCAAAAACCTTAATTTCTTTTTGACTGAAGAAAAAAAGACATGGACATCTTGGATGACATGGGGGTGAGTAAATTATCAGCAAAAAATTTTTTTAAAAAGTGAACGACTTTAATATAGTTAACTAATGTTAACAAATCAAACCTAATTGTAAAGTGTTACCGTTATTTTAGTAAATCAAGTTAAATGAAACCGAGAAGTGTTTTCTTTTTAACTAGCTGAAGGTTTTTTTATACACTTTATTTAAAGTAGCTAAAAATAAACGTTTTTATTGTTTTAATTTTAGTTACCCATAATAACCAGGTAGTGATAGAGGTCAGTCATGTATAGCCTACCTCTCAAAAGATTTTGATATTTTGTTGCAAAGGTTCCGGAAACTAGTGTCAGAGTTTGAGCCGGAGGTGACCGAGGTCCCCAAACTGTTTCGGGGCGTCCTACAAAACTGCCTGGATGAGCTTCAGGGAGATGCAGAAATCCAGGATCGGATGAACCGTTGGGAAAAACAGCGCAGCAAGAGCCTTTCCTTTGTCACTTTCCGGTCCAAGTTCCGCACCCTAAACCACGGCAGGGGAAGCTTCGGCGGCTCCCGCAACAACCTGCAAGAGGAAAACACATGGTCTGATGAGGAGGAAGAGGAGGCAGCCGAACAAGTGGCAACAGCCCTGCGCGCACGCAAGGGACGGAGTCACAGCATGCCAGAGATCACCCCTCTTGAGCAGCCCACACAGAGCTGAACAACAGGAAGACCAGATGAATGGAAAGACAGAAGAAAGAAGGAAATAGACTTGAAAAGAAAAGCAGCCTGCAAGCTAAGCTGGTGATGGAGGAGGAAGAAAAGAGAAAGTGGCAAAGAACAAGAGAAGAGAAGACAAATCTGATTCAAGGAAACATCTTGAAAGACTAAAGTTTGTGTTATCAGATTGTAAAACAAGCACTGTTCATTTGTTAATTACACCAAAGAACACCAGTATAGGCATATATAAGAAGCCTATAGGCCTAGTCCTTTTTTTTACCTTCTAATGTGTTCTTAAATATTTTAAATATTTGGATGTGACTATATGATGAAATTCACAAAGCATGATAAGTGCGTGTCCAGGTTATATTTCAGGTCAGGTCAGATGTATATTAGTGCTGTGAAACGATTAATCGCGATTAATCTCATCCAAAATAAAAGTTTGTGTTTACATAATATATGTGGGTGCACCGTCTATATATAAATATAAATACACACAAATGCATGTATATTTAAGAAAAAATATTATTTATATATAAAATATTTATATTTATATATAATATAATTTATTTCTAAATCTATATACATTAAAATATTTCTTAAGTATATACAAGCATGTGTGTGTATTTATATAAATAAAATAATTATACACAGTGCACCCACATATATTATGTAAACACTAACTTTTATTTTGGATGCGATTAATCACGATTAATCGTTTCACAGCCCTAATATCTTTAAAAAAGCGCAGGAAAATGTGGGGAAAATATTTAAATTTCAGAGCATATCCATCAATACAGGGTTAATTGTACTGCATAAAGCAGCATCACCATAAGAAATTAAATTACCCTCCAAAAAAACTCAAAAGGTGAAATGCGCTGAATTATTAAAATAATATCAGCTTAATTTTTGGTATGACATACTTTTTTTTTTTTTTACGATTTTGGAGTGACCCAGACAGGTTTTTTGCAAGTTTTGTGAGATTTACTCCAGAAAATCATTACAGTCATAGCAACAAATGCAACATTAGCCAGAAACACTACTTCTCAGATGTGTATTAATATGTACTGTTTGCTCTTACATTACAACAATGTTCAGTTCATACAAGAGATGCAGATCATCAGCTAAAAAAGCCTGGAAACAGGAGTCTTCATAAAAAGTGCTTATTAAATAATACACTGTACATCGTTCATGAGTTTGATTTGAGAGTGTGTGGGAGAGAGAAAGTCTGTGATTTAGCAAATGAGAGAGTTTGACCTGGAAAAAGCTGTTTCTAAGTGAAGACATCATCTCTGGCAGCTCCTCCTCCTGTTTCATTATTCACAGCATCACAGCATGAAGGAGCTGATCTTGTTCTTTGTGCCGTCGGCCAATACTTTCATCAGGCCAAGGTTGTACCGATCGGTTTCATTACCAGACGTTCAGCTCCAGAACAACCAACACGTGAAACTGTCTCAGCACAGATCTGGAACGAAACATCCTAATGTGATGAATGAACAGTTTTTAGCTTTAGAACCATCTGGAGTCTCTTTGGGCCATTTAAACCTCTTTTAAAATCTATATTACTGGTCTTCATTTGCACCTTGTGGAGCAAAATCATACGACCAGGTAACTTCCTCTAACTCCTTGTGTATTTGGCAGAATCAAACTCAAAAAAAAAAAAAAAAAACCATCAAAGTCTCTAAACAGTATATAATATTGCAGACCTCATATTTACAGGGCCGGCAATCAGAAGGCCTTAACACTAGAAGGTAGAATCACATGAAAACTGGCAGGAAATCCCAGGCTCATATTTCACCACCCAAACAAGAAACATAAGTATTTTTGTTTTGCATGAATTCCTCCAAATTTTCATGACTTATGTTTGAAAAAATATATACATGATTTCTATATGTACACATGCATTTGCACATTTTTAAAGTACGTTTGTAGTGTATATCATTGCATTTAATTAAATTTCCGTTTATTAATAATAAATATATCATGCCATATACAATCATTTTCATCATATTGTATTTTTTTTTCCTTCACATTAAAACTAAAAATATTTTTTCCTTTCATTTTTGGGGTAAAATATGACCCTGATATTTCTTTGTGAGAATGACCCATAAGTGGCAAAAATTGCATAACTTTGATATAAAAACAGATCAATAGAGATTATTATTATCAGGAACATTTTATAAAGATAATTAGAGTCAATTAATTTACTGTAAAAATGTTATCGATGATTACGAATAACACTGGCTGAAGAAAAACAAACTAAACCAGTTTAAAGAATCAAACCATTTGGGGAAAAGCCTTCTCTTTTAATATGTGATTATTAATGAGAAACGAAGGCTCAAGTATTAATGTAGACGTAGATGAAGCTTAAAGAGAACAGAGTGAATCAGAACACCCTCCTCTCGGTCTAAATGCACAGTAAATCTCAGTTCCACCTTCGTCAGCGTCATCACCATCCTCTTCCCTCTAGAGTGAGAGAGTCAAACATGGACAGTCACTCTGACCAAAATCCTTCCACCAATGAGCATCAGATTGTCCTCCCCCCCCCAAAAAAGAAAGTCAGAGTCCCAGTCCACTTGTGTTTGTGTTTTTGCACATTCGCCCGTAAGTCCATCGCCCGTTCCTCCTTCCTTCAAAACCTTTGGCTCTGTTTCCACCTCTTCTTACACTCAAGGTTGTTCCTTCTCAGGCGAAGAAGACCACAAAGATGATGAAGAAGACGATGAGAACGAGGAATATCTTGATCATGAGCCAGCGATTGGAGGAGACGGACTGGAAATACTTCAGTATCTCGCTGTGGGCCATTTCCACATTCAGCTGGGTGTCCTCCACATTGGCGTCGATCCTGGTGATCAACAAGAAACATGAACAGCTCAGAAACACCTCAGGCTTTTGACAGCATTTTTGACAAAAACAATTCAATTCATATTTTTGCTTTTTATACTATATTATTGTGTAAAAAAAAACTGTTTCACTATAAGAAATTATACTATAGTTATTAGCAAGTTATCGTTTATATATAGTTATTAGTATATTTTTACTAAAAATCTTCAAATTGTCAAAAAAAAGTTTAATTTTCTTTATGCAAAATACTATTTCTTATTTTTTTTTCTTTTGATTTTGTGTTGAAATGTGACCTGAACATGTTTATTAAAATGTTTATGTTTATCATTATTAACAAAAAATAAATAAATAAAAATATTTCCATTGTAGAGGCATATTTGAGTGCTACAACAATCATCAGTCTTAAATGACAATAAAAAAATATAATAAATGGACATTTTAAATACTAATATGCCATTTTATTGTGCAGCATAAGATATATTCATGCCACATTTCTACAACGAGAGAGTGATAAGTGTTTGTGGTTTGTACAGCATGTATCTGTTGAGTCTGTGGTTTTGCAGTATGCATATTCATATGGTGTGCATGTGCTTGCGTGTGATCGTCTGACCTCTGAATCGTCTCCTCCTGCTCTTTGACCATGTGTGCCAGCTGCTGAAAGATGGAGCCCAACTCCACGATGGTGCTCTCGATGTTCTGCATGGTGTCCGCTCGGCTCTGGATATACGAGTCCTTCGCAAACACAACAAAGGGACACTTAATCATGAAATCAGACATTCAACATTTGTCATACATGCAAACGTTCATCAACAAGCAGCAGCATAGTCTAAAATCCTTTCCTCTGAGAGACAGATACCTGTTCGTCGATGAGCTGCAGCTGAAGAGGGTTTGCTGTAGAGCCCATGTCGATGGCCACCTCGCCTCCCAGACTCCTGGACTCATCCTGCATCAGAACTGAGCTATCTGCAAGAGGCAAGAAATTAAAAACACTAAATAATGGCACCAAGTGTGTCTAAAAACAAATAATTGGACATGGTGAAAAATTCTGTTTTCTAAATAATAAATGCAAGAAAAAAAAAAGTCACAAACAAGAAATTAATATAATAATTAATCTATAATAATTGTAATATATTACAATATAATAAAATAATATATTATCAGCAATAATGTTATATTATAAACTATATATAAAACATTAACATTAGATAATATAAAATATAACAAATAATAAAGTTGTGAAAAATGTTAATATAAAATTATCACAAAAGAGAAGCTCAAATAGAAGGATGTTTTTATTTGTATAAAATGTTTGGTCATACTATCATCGTGTGTTACTTCATATTTAGTTATGATTAATTTACCATGTAGAAAATATTGGCAATGATTTGAGAGTATCTGCACAGCCCAAGACTATTAATACTCATATTAGTTGACAACAAACTGTAGCATGACATTTTAAAGGGGTGACGTACTGAAGTTATTGGTGAGCAGAGGAGAGGCTGAGACAGGAGCTTGGGAGAAATGCTCTCTTCTGCTGCGCTGATGCTTCAGATTCTAAACACACAACAGGACAGACACACATCAGTTATATTATAATATTCACTCATTACAAATTATTTTGTTTGGAAAACAACTCAACCTTTGCTACACAGCAAATGGTTTCACATCATCATGATCCACAGTGAATGCACTTTGTGTATTTTTTCTTACTAAAGAGCTGATAATTAAAAGCATAACAACTGCTTGACACAGAATTGATGACATTATTAAAGTGCAGCACTTGTCATAAACCAAAAGAAAACTCACCTCTGTTCTCACTTCCAGGACTGACTTGAAATCATTTGACATTGATGCCAGCTTGGACTGCAACACAAACATTCCCAGATAAGAAAATGAAAGGTGTGGCGGCTATTTAAGTAATTTTATATGTCAATCCAAATAAGATCATCCACCTCTTACGGTCTACAGCTAGGGATATGGGAGACTTCCTTGAGAGTCTCAAATATTTGTTCACTGGAGGAATTTTAGATATAAAACTGTACCTGCAGGGAAACAACAATTGTGTTGGAATGTGTCTGGATGTGGCGGCCATTTTGCCCACTGCGGGATCGCACAAGGTCTTGCAGCTGCGCTATCTGCTTATTCAGACTGGTGATGTCCTGATGAGAGACAGACAGCATATCAGATCACTGCAAGAGGTTTGATCTTTCACATTATGGAAGTTAGCTGAAGGATATCAACAATCCTACAGGCAACTTCAACATCAATGCAAGCTAAGTGAAATAAACAAGTATTGAAATTCATATCAATATGTTTTCATATGATGGATAGGGAGAGGGACGCCACTAACCTGTTTAATGATGTACGTTAACTCCTCAATCTCCACTGCTTTATCATCGAACAAAGACTTCCTTTTGGCCACTAGGAGTGAGGGGAGAATTAAATTATAAAAATTAAAACAGTCTCTAACAGTAACAACAACATCAGTTTAAACCACATGTAATGTAACATAGCTTGCGAAGAAAAATGTAATTCCAGGCAGTAATCTTAATCAAAAATGAAACACAAACTATTCAAAAGTTTGGGGTCAGTAAGACTTCATAAAGTATAATTAATACTTATTCAGCAAGGATGCATTAAATGAATAAAAAGTGACAATAATATTACAAAATATTTTTATTTCAAGAATCCTCAAAACAATTGACAACAACTGTTTTCAACATTGACAATAGTAGAAAATGTTTCTTGAGCATCAAATCAGCATATTAGAATGATTTCTGGAGGATCATGTGACACTGAAGACTGGCGTAATGATGCTCAAAATTCAGCTTTGACATCATAGTAATAAATTATATATTAAAATATATTAAAAATTAATAGAAAACAATTCTCTTCATTTTTAATAATATTTCACAATATTGCTGTTTTTGTTTTGTTTTTTTAAATCAAATAAATGCAGCCTTGCTGTTGAGCATAAAAAAACATTTTAAAAATCTTACCAACCCCATACTTTTTGAACAGCAGTGTATTTTAAATCCAAGTCAATTGCATTATACCAGGGAACTAGACTAGGGACATGGACAAGCATCAGAACTATTAAATACACATTCTTCCACCACCAACAAGAGTCTAAAAAGAAATGAAGAGCAGTCTTCTATTTGGTGTTACTAAATCTATTTAGTGTTACTGGCATGTTACTTACAAATTGTAAGCTTTTCAAGCTTGGCAAATGTGTTGCTCAAGTCTTTCCCAATTCTCCTGTTACAGAGAAACAAAACAAGATTTAAGGGAGGCAAAGATTCAAGGAAACAGAACAAGACAGAGTTGCTCTGAAGTGAATACACAAAGATCAAAGAGAAACATGGATCTGAACTCTTACTTGGCCATGAGAGTGAAGTCACTGCGCTGTTTAAGGGCATTAATGACAGGTTTAGCATGAGTCCCATTCTGAAAAAAACAGAACAAGAACTTTTGGTACATGTGAACACATTAATAACATATCAAGTAGGAAATACATTTTTGCCAATAAGCAAAAGTTTGATATGATTTAAAAGATCAGCAAAACAACAAAGACAATTTTTTACTTCCATGAAGCACAAAAGGAGAACTTAGGTAGAAGTCCAAGCTTCTGCTTCCAATTCAAGAAAAGAGGATGGTGATTTATAATGCTTTTATTTGGCTTGCTTTGCATAGTGTATTTTTTGAAACTTGCAGCTTAAAGGCATACTCCACTTTTTTTGGAAATAGGCTCATTTTACAAGTTAAACAGTTGGGTTTTACCGTTTTCGAATCCATTCAGCCGATTTTCTGATATTTAGAAGAATATCAGTAACCAGACAGTTTCTGGTCCCATTGACTTCCATAGTATACATTTCTTCCTACTATGGAAGTCAATTGGACCAGAAACTGTCTGGTTACTGATATTCTTCTAAATATGGAAGTCAATGGGACCACAAATCCCATTCATAGTACATGGAAGTCAATGGGACTAGAAACTGGTTACTGATATACTTCTAAATATCAAAAAATCGGCAGAATGGATTTGAAAATGGTAAAACTCAACTGTTTAACTCTAGAGGTTGTAAAATGAGCCTATTTCCAAAAAAAGTGTAGTATCCTTTTAAGTCACCATTTATTTTTGCGCCCAGTTTCAGCCTAGCCCTGACTCAAATGCATGTTCGAGCCGTTTGAAATGCAACAACTTGCTCTGACAATATGTCATTGCCATTGTTTTAACTCAAGATGCTCACCAGTAATGTTTTTCTTCAAGGCACATTTATAAAAGCTACTCAAATGTCCTGATTTAACTAAGGCCTAGTCCTGGCTTAATCAAATCATGCATATCTGTGAAACCAGGTCATGTATAGTAAAGAGCAGCTCACATTCTGCCAAGCATTTCTTTTTCGTAAAACAGTTCAGTAAATGATGACAGAATGTTTTTATTTTAGGTTAACCATCCCTTTAAAATGTTCAAATAAAGTATACTGTAAGATAAGATGATGTGTAACAGGCTACATGGTTTTAAGCATCTGTAAAAACTACATTATCCACACTGTAGATGATTGTCATACCTGTAACTGTCTCCCCTGCAGGGACTTACAAGCCGACTGGAACTCAAGTGTGCGGTCCCGACACGTCATGATAATGCCGCAGAAGCTTTTCTCCTCAACGTGATCAGGATGTGTGTGACAGTGAGTCTAAAGTGATCCGGCTGCTGTGAAACTCCACTTGCGTCTTTATGGTGCCAAAACAAACAACTCAGACTCCAGAGGTTACTAAGATCTTGGCTGAGCTGACTATTCTTCAGCGACTCCGCACATCATCTGAGGATCACACAACGATTCAATCAATCACCTGAACTTTGGTTGTTGTTGTTGTTGTTGAGAAGAAACTACAGTGTTCTAGAAAGTATTTGGACACTTGAGAGTATGAGTAATATTGTGTTTGGTTTGATAACAAAATAAACCGAATGGTAACAATATAATGCACAAGCTGTCATAGAACTAATGTCACCTTTTTAACCAATGATTTTTTTTAACCACTTGGTGTCAAGTTGATTTTTTTAAAATGGATGTGTGAAGTCAGTTCCCCTGCAATTTGATATGAAGAATTTATTAAAAGAATTTAAAGTTGAGCTGACTATAATTGAAATACATTGATTAAAACTGTGTGTGGAAAAACATTACCTAGCCAAATGGCGCAAAAAATATTACATTGCCTCAGGATGCTTTCGAAACAAGATTGTGATCCTATCCTTTCATTTAGATTTTGTATCATAGAAGAGACTCTCCATTTACTTGTTCCTGAATATTGTATCGAAACCAAATATATATTAATATATAGTAATAATAACTGCAATAAGATCTTAAAGTGTTACAAGAGATGTATAGTTGTGTCAAAGCAACACTTCAGGCAAATGTCATTCTCTGGGTATATACTGTCTTCACGTTGTAAGAGGTACAGTAGGTAAACAGTGTTGTCTTTCACTTCTACATCCAGAAATAGTTAGTTGACAGATATAAGATCTCCTCGGTTTGCCCTTCTTTACGATATTAATGAAGAAAACCACTTTAGATAATGTCTACAAATAACCCGCCCATCAGTCAGCTGAGCAGAGAGGTAAACTTAACTCACGTTATCGCATTATAGGCCACCTAGAATATTCTGGCTCCACAGGCAGACGTGGAATAGCACACATCAGTGTGACAACTCATTATCCGTGAAGATCTATAACAAACAACTACTTAAATGTTTTTAAAAAGATGAATATCTTTAAAGGTGTTTACATGTTTGTTTACATGTACTGTGAGTGACACCGTCTTCAGACAGCAGTGCGCAGTTCTGTGTGCGCTAATTGACCAAAAACTCGACAATTTCTGTCTAAATTTAAACCGCAATAGCTAAAAAATGAACCTAAATCACTAGCTAACAAATTACTGCCGTCATTAAGAATCGTTTACTCACGGTTATTGTGCCATTTCGTCGTTTTTTACAATATTCCCCGGCTTGTCGATGTTAGTGAGGTCGGGGTTTCACTTCCAGTCCTGACCGCTTCCGGTGTGCGTCACGTCACTGCCACGTCCACGAACGCGCACGCTCACTGCAGCTTTCCGAAAGCGTGATCTGTGACGCAAGTATTGCACTATTTGTTTAGTACATGGCTCTGGTTTAGTTTCTAATTTTATGTAATAAGTCATTGTAATGTTTTTAATTGTTTTAATTTGATACTTTTCTAGTTTTTTTTCCATTTTCTTTTTTACTTCTTCTTTTATTTATTCAATTAATGCGTCTATCTATTAATGTTTGTAATACTCCCAAACGGTCATCTCTGTTTAGGATTTTTATAATTAATGCAAGATAAAAAAAAACAAAAAAAAAACAAAAACGTATATTTAGTCTATAGTTTTGGAGCAGTGGAATTTAATAACATTTTGGAGGGGTTTATCCTATCCAATTATTGTATTATATTTATTTTTTTGTAAAATAATAACCAGTGCGTTTTATGTCGAATATTCGTGATTATGTATATTTTATCAGAAAAAAAATATTGACAGAAACATTTCAAACCACTACAACACCAGCAGATGTCGCCAAAAGAATATAAAAAACTGCACCTGTTATGTTGTCGAACAATTAAGCCATGCTGTTAATCATTTTGAGGTGAATATGATTGTAAATATTAAAATAACTATGCACACAGTCTAAAACGGACTAATTATGAACATAAGCAAGCCAAATGACAATGTTATAGGGTGGTTTTGAAAAGATTGTGATCCTTTAAATAGCTAAACAATTTTAGGCTACAATTGTGTTCATTGTTGGGATATTTTGTATCCAATAACCCCATCAATAACATGATCACACACCGGTTTTCATTTTCTTTTAGGATGTTTCCTAATCCATTCTAATCTTTGTATGTTTCCAAATAATTTTAGATTTTACTTGCATTATGTGAACAATATGGTGTACTCTCCAGTATATAGGAAACCTTTATCACACATACATATTCTCCTGAATTCAACATGAAGCAGCATGTAAACTGTTTGATGTCCTCTCAGCATAAGAGCCGTTTGTGCTCCTTATCTCCTTTGTGCTGATTAGCCCAACTCCCTTTGAATTCAGCAAACCCCATAACTCATCTCAAGATCTGCATTATTTTGAGCTTTTTGCACTCAGATCGATGACACAGCTCTTTCCAGCCCATTTGAGACAGGGTTCAATGGCATCGGTGTTTCCCCAGAGGAGAAATGCTCATAAAACACATTAGAAAACACCTTTATTGACTTAAACATGAAGGTTTACATTTTTCTCACACACACACACACACTGGTAGGCCTACACACAGGTAGCACTCAGCCAATGTTGTCGTCTCTGCCAGATAACATCACAACGCACACATATTCATGTTGTCCAGATAGCATCCAGACCTGCTAGAACACAGCTGCTTCAACAAAGAGACACAAGGAAAACACGACTGATGTTTTATCATTAGTGCCACTTGGGCAGCAACACACTCGCACACATGAGAGCAGGAAAAAAAACACGGGACTGTGTGTTTTTAGCTGGAGATGAAAAAAGAGGTGAACCTGGAGGGGGAAGTGGGTGGCCCTGAAAAATATAATTTAATGCCTTTTAAGAAGAGAGGGAGGAGGGGAGGGAGAGAAAGTCAGAAAGTAGCACAGAAATGTATTCCATCTTCTGGATGGATGAGTCACTCTCTCCAGTTTTTTTCGTAATCTTGCAGGCGGGCTGCTAAATTTAGTCCTGGCTATGAGCCCTGACAGACAGGTAGCATCAGCCTCATACACACAGTCTACACACACCCTGTACAAAGCCCACTCAAACACACCATTTCAGAAGTGAAGTGGGGCAGACATGTCAAGTGTAATGTCTAACAGTTTTTTTTTTTCTTATATTTTCCTTATGACAGTTGATGATTGGTTTACAAGGGTTGCCAACTTTCTGATTTGGAAATAAGGAAGGGGTGAAAGTGGAGAAAATTACCCCTGAAATTCAGTTACACGAAAGAAAGGACCCCTGAAATTCATACATTATGGCACATTACAATGCAACTTATGAGGCCTATATAGAATAGCAAAGTATGACTAATCATGACTATGTACCACATAGGCAAGATAGATATAAAGGCTTTCATGATCATTTTGCCAACAATGAACCATTTGTTTAGTTTATAATAGGCTACGTTTTATTTTTAATTTCAACAATTAAAACGTATAACATTCAAAACTCATCGGCTTAGACTGCATTTGAAGAAAAATAAACACAGCAGTTTTCTGGGACTCACAAGTTATGACGTCACTATGTAGGCCAAAACGCGGAAGTGAATTAGCATTTTAGCACTGCCGGTTCCTTTTGCTAAATCGCCTGAAATGAGGTCTGTGGTGAACGAAGCCTCTAGATATTTTCACGTTTTGTCTATGACATAGAACACACAGTTGTAACCTGCTTGTGGTTTTTTAAACTTTATTGTGTCTGCTTGTGTTTTTAAAAAACGTGATATATGCCTCAACTTGTAAAGATTATCTACAAAACGTGAAGGGGTCACAACTCTTTGTTAAACACAGACCTTATTTTTTGCGCTTTTCCAAAAGTCTATGTGGAAATTGCATAGCTTTTCGATCGAGGGAACACACGCGCCGCTAGCTCCCGAGTTGTCCTACAAAGTGACATCATCACTTCGGTACTGACTTGTGGACTTTCTGCGCGAGGGCGCCCTCTGGCGTGGCGTCCAGTATGAATAAAAAATATATTACAGGAGAGTGTTTAGCGCTCAATGTTCACATCTAATGATTTTAGATAAGAATGTGACGTCAGGTAAGGCATGGACTAAGACTATCTTGTCTCTTTGATTGAATCTAGATTTATTGACATTGGCCAATGAAAACCTACGTGAACACATTTGCCCGTAAAAAGATATTTTGTGGGGCCTGGGGGATATGGCCTATGCACACACACTTGAAAACAGACAAGGACCCTTATACACACAGACTGAAGCAGTCATACACACACATTACCTCACTGCATCAAGTGCAGTCATCAAACATGCTGTGAAATATTTATATGAGAACTCGCCGCAGATACACTGGAGAGGATGTTCTGTTTTGATAATGTCACAGGAATCAGATGTCTGACTCTATATAATGCAAAATCCAATATGAGAATTGACGAGGGGACCTGACAGTGAATAAAAGCGCCTATGCCGCTCAACGTGAATCTGACCTTTACAAGACAGTCCAATAAAAACCCTGTTTACAAACTATAATATTTTTGTTTTATAAAAAGAGAGAAAAATAGTCTCATTAAAACTGTCCAGAAGATCCAAATCTGTCTCTCCCTCTCCTTTCTAAAATTTGTATAGCCTATAGAAAGAAGGAAAGAAAACAAAGCCTATTCCAGGACTTTGGTTATAAAATGTAATACTACATAATAATAATAATAATAATAATAAAAGGTATTTAAAAATGAAAAGAAATTGAACATAATTATACAAACAAGTCCCAGTCATAAATCAGGCTTCATTTTTACATGAACATTATTTATTTATTGTATTTAATACACATAATATTTAATTCCCAAATTAAAAGATATAGGCCTATGTAGAAGTTAGAAAATGAAGCTTATTTTTAGGATTTAGTCAATTTTCAAACAATTTAAAGAAACTTGTTGTTATAATAATAATAAATATGTAATATAATAACCATCTTCATCATAATAATGATAATAAAATAGATTAGAAAAATATTTACAAAAATGGTAATGGAAACAGACTTCATTTTGTATCACTTCTTGCTGTATCACTCCTGTTAAAAGCCTAGAGAAAACAAGGATCAGTGAATCAGCAAACAGGAGATATCAGGTGAGGTAAGGCAGGTCTGTGCTATTCCACAGGCGCTGGGCAGGTGGCATTATTAGCTCTGTATGTGTGTGTGTGCGAGTCTGACTCAGCAGCAGTCAAGCGAGAGGAGGGAGAGAGATAATATTATTTCTCACATCATTACGGAGCTGGCGGCCCTCTGCCTAAGACTCCCAGACCCAGGTGATAATTATCACAATGTTTGTCTTTCATTACCGTTAAACGGCAGGGAAAGAGAGGGAGGGGTAAAATGCAAAATAGGGAGGATGAATTGGGAATATAACAAAGACTAAAGCACATTAATTTAGTCCATTCCCTACAAAAAAGTTCTGCTGCACTTTCATACAGTGATGGTATTAGAGGAATAGTACTTTAATATGTACTGAAAGATTACTATGCCATTATATTAACATGATACTTAAAGTCTTCTTAAAACATGTTACATGTCCAGCTATAGACCATATTATCACAATAGATTGCCTCAATATTGTTCAGGACACGTTTCACCACAAAAAGTAGTATATATATGAAGAGTTCAGATGCAAAAGCCTCTAAGTGCCATTTGAAATTTTGTGATTTCACTTAAATGGCAATGATAATTACCTATTAATTGTTATTTAAGTGAAATTACTGAACTTAAATATACAAGTTTGATAAAAATCATCATTAAAGAAGAAAATTTCAAATGGCATTTAGAGGCTTTTGCATCTGAACTCTTCATATATATATATATATATATATATATATATATATGCACACACACATTACATTGGACATTTTCTTTTTTGTCTTTGGGGTAAAATATGAGGTTGTATGAATGAAAATGAATCTCACAGGTTGTGAGATTCTCCTAATAATATTGTGGTACTGTTTGCAAGTGTGTGGAACGTTTCAAAATTACCAAAACATCACAAATCTATCTCAAAAATAAGACATTTCACTTTATTTATATTAATATATAGCACATTGCTTTATGGCTGTTGTGTTTTTATATACTGTATGTGTGTGATCAGACCTACATTTGAATGTATACACATTGTAGACATAAAGCAGAGCAGGTTATGTCTCTCTGTAACAAATATTATACACACGTTCACACACACAGGAGAATCGGGCACAGATGGTATAGCAGCAATAACCATTATTAATTACGTTCAAATACTCAAAGCTTATATTGTGTATAGACTGTGGTACAGATTGGGTCCTGTGGTGTCCTGTTCTACATGTCAGACAGATACGCTTCTATGCACAGGACTCTGGAATTATCTTTACATAGAATAGAATGGAAACACTGAAGCTCTGTCGGTACATTCATATTGTATGCATTTTGTGTATTTGTGATTTATATATTTTCACGGTTCTATATTCTTACAGCGATAGTTACGTTAACTGCACAGACACAGAGGTAGTTGATATATGTTACTGTTGAGAGAGAGAAAATGCTACGTTTATAGCACAGGATATTTCACAGAGTTGAAGGAACGACAGTCATCATAGACGAGGAAACAGGACAACATATTGACCAGTTGACACTGGAAGTCAACATGAACTCAAAATCAACCCTATTCACTTTCATAAACTTATTGTACATAGTTTCAAAGAAAAGAATATTTCCATTCACATCTTTCATCAAAATGGAACGACTTGCGTGTGGGTCATGTGGGCTGCAATAGTCAAAGCAATAGTTTGGCTTCATTTTGGTTTGGAACGCCCACTTTTTACCATTCAATCAACTGCCAATGTTTTAAATGAAGAGACCCCCTACATATCATTTTTCACAGTAAATTGGGTTGCAATTGACATTTCATGTTGACTTTGACAAATATCAGTAGTTTGGGAATGCTGATAGCAAGTGGATATCCTAGTCTGGAGGGTGAAAGGGTGCTTAAGGATCTCAATTTACATTAATGCAGATTATGACTAAACAAATAATCTGAGAAATCACTTGAGTGAGGTCAGTAAGGCCTCAGTTCCTTGCTCTTAAAAATCATAATTCAGTCAATAATGCTACATAAATGAGGTGGAAAGAAGTGTTTGGCTAAATGAACACCGTTAAAAAAAAAGTAAGTAACCTTCAGCCTCCCCAGCTAACAGAAAATATGCTAACGTTACCATTAAGTTATGAAAACGTTATTCCTGAATGTTCAAAACATCCAATTTTTTGTCTTACATTAGAGAAAACATTAAAGGGATAGTTCACTTTTAAATTAATTTTTTTTATGTTTTAGCTTACCTCAAGGGCGTCCAAGATGTAGGTGTCTTTGTTTGTTTCCACAGTAGTTTCAATTTTTATTTTTTTAGGTCAAACCGTTCTTGTTTGTCAGTCATATAATGGAGGTCTATGGTCACCACCTCAAAGAGCATGCACGGAGAAGTCCAAATTAAACATGATTTAATGACTCGTAACTGTAAGTACACATTGATGGCCTATGACACGAAACGAGCGGTATGTGTGAGAAAATGAACAAAATTTGAATCGTTTTTACCTCTTGTAACCACAGCTACAAAGCGTCTGTGGCCTCAGATCACTTGGACGTGGCTGTGGTAACAAGAGGTAAAAACGATATAAATACTGTTCGTTTTCTCACACAAACCGCTCGTTTCGTGTCTTAGGCCATCAATGTGTACTTACATTTACGAGTCATTAAATCATGTTTAATTTGGAGTTCTCTGTGCATGCTCTTTGAGGTGGTGACCATAGACCTCCATTATATGACATAGACAAGAACGGTTTGACCTAAAAATATCAAAATTGAAACTACTGTGGAAACAAAGACACCTACATCTTGGATGCCCTTAAGATAAAACATTCCAAAAAAACGAATTTCAAAGTGAACTATCCCTTTAAGGAAATGTTTTCTCTAGTATATCATTTCGCAAGTATTATGGGAACATTACTTATGAATGTTCTCTGAACCTGAAAAACGTAGCAAGTAGTAACATTTAAAAACAATAGACTAAAATCCAATTGAAATGTTTCAGAAAACAGTTCAATGAACGATGTATAAATAACATTTTTTGTGCTAATGTTTTGATTATTAAATTTCATTTAATTTTTTGGTTATTGAAGACCAGGGACCGGATTCATGAAAGTCTTCTTAATAAAAAGATTTTTTTTGGGAATACAAAATATTCTTATCTTTTTTCTTAAGTTAGAAAATAATTGGCCGTAAAGAAGAGTTTTATTATTAAGAATGTTTCGTAAGTCCGGCCCCTGATAACTATGAACAAACATTCTATTAACGCAACTGGACGAACGTTGTTCATAACTTTGAGAGTTCCCTGTTAGCTGGGGAAACTCACAGTCCTCAACATTTCTCAAGAAATCAGGCAAAAATACTCAATATTCTCGGATCATTACAGGCGCAGCAAATTAAATGTCCCACAAGAAACATTGCAAAGCATAATACAAAATGCATCTCAATATAAAAAATAAATACATCATCCTCCCACTCCTGTGAGATGATAAAGAAAAACTTAACACACAGAATGGGCCCTTCCCTTTTCTGAAGCTTGCCGGGTGCTCTCAAAGTCGAGACTGCGAATTTGTCTATGACGGCCACCCAGCCTGATTCTATTGGTTGAATTAACAAAGAAACATTCTTTAAAATAAAATGGACTACAATAACATTAGTATTCTTTACAAAATGAATAAGATAGATAAAATAAATTCTTCTTTCAGTATCAACACAGAAAAGCTTATATTTACCTGCTTGCATTTGTATGTGTACGCATGAGTGTTTGTGTGTGAGGGAGAAAGAATTTTAAAAAAGAGACAGACGAGGTGAAAAGAATAAAGAAAGAGACGAAAAATGAGTGTGATCGGGGGGTGTGGGAGAGAGAAGACGTGTGTTTGGTGAGCACCAATTGAATATAGCCAGGTTTCTATACTATTGGCATTCCCTTCACTGGCTAGCCAGTGGGAAAAGCTTTCAATTCCCAAAGGAAGGAACCAAACAAAAAGCAAATCAAACAAACACAAAAAGGCTCATTGATACAGTCTGTGAAGCCACATTATGGACTTATAGAGGCTAGGAATAAATTAGGATAGACGAGCAGATCCTTATTATTCACCACTCAGACCACACAGACACCCGTCCATCCGTCTAATCAACCCATCCAACCATTTAACGCAAGCAGAGGGTCAGAGGACACATCGGGGACGTTCTTAGGATAAGATACTCTGTTTGTGTAGCGAGACACTTGAGTTCTCTCAACATTGAAGGTCTGTCAACATCCATCCCATCAAAAACTCTCCACTTAAGTAGTTTTGTCAAAAAAAAAAGACTCCTTCCTTATTCTCTTTTCCTTTTAAGCACACTTGTCGTCCTTAGCATTACACTAGCTGCGTGTGCGTGCCTATGAGGATCCATTGAAGCCAAAGAAAAATCCCAGAATTGGTTTTGGACAAAGCTCAATGAGAACTCCACGACTGGCTCATATTCCAGCGACTGACCCACCGAACTTTAACCAAACACAATGTCAAATAGTTAAAGGTGATCTGAAGATTGGTTTACAGTGGAGAAAAAGCTTCCTAAACTCAACAATAGGATCTGATGTATTCCATACACACGGTACAGAAGTGGATATACAGTGCAAACAGAATGTATATGCATCTAATACTGCTGAAATAGTGTGTGGGACGTAGCCAGATGGGCCAGGGGGTGGGTCTTTCCCAAGCGCAAACCCTCTTTCTGGGTGAGACCCAAAACTTCAGAGTCCATGACAAAAGAATAAGCAAACCTTTGACCTCCTCAAAGCTGTGCAAAGTTTGATCTGTGGATTATACGGGTGGTTTGATTTCACTATTCACTTTGGGTTTCGCATCTGAAAGGGAATGAGAAGAGGAAAGAGATTACATACATGTTAAAAATAGCAAGCAACACTTTACTTGAGACTTTTTATAAACAATTGTGATCAGTTGTAATGCATTAAAATACAGTACGCTACAATTCAAAAGTGTAGGGTTGGTACACTGTAAAAAAAATATTTTTTTTATGATTTGTGATCACAACATTTTTTCTTTTGACAAATCAACTTAGATCATTTATGTTGTTCGGATAACATCATATATTGAGTTTCTGATGATTAAATCAATCTCCTTCATTGTATTAACTCAATTTTTCCATTTCAATGAACTTAAAATTTTATGGTAACCAGGTTCCTTATTTTTTAAAGTTAAACCAATAATATTTTTTTTTTTACAGTGTAATATTTGTTTTTGAAAGAAGTCTCTTACGCTCATCAAGGCTATTGAAAACAGTTGTGCTGCTTAATATTTTTGTGGAAACCGTTTTTATTAAGATTCTTTGGTGAAAATAAAGTTCAAAAGAACAGCATTTAGAGATAGAAAAGAGATAGAAATCTTTTGTAAAATGTCTTTACTTTCACGTTTAATCATGCATTCTAGTGGGAAAAAAGTATTCTTTAAAAAAATATTATATATATATATATATATATATATCAAACAACATCATCCAGATGTGCCAAAATGATTTCTGCACAATATATTTTTGTATTATTCCATTTATTTTGCACTTAGAAAAAAGTCAATCTTGCGGACGACTCATTTGTTCCCTCAATTTATAAATCATGTGCACGATATAGCAAATGAAGGGAATAAAATGGTCAATAATCCACACGATTTATAAATCGAGGGAACATGTTTATTAGTAAAAACTAAACCATTTTTATCAAATAAAGATTTTGAAAGGTTGATCCATTACTTTATTTTAACACAACTGGACTTTTGTAACTCTGTACTGCGGTATCGCAGCAGCTTCTTTATCACGATTACAATCAGTGCAAAATGCCGCTGCAAGGATTTTAATGAGAGGAAAGAAATATGAATCAATTACACTTGTATAGCGTCTTTGAATTGGCTTGTGATGTTTAACATGCTGTCTATTTATTGATTTACGTGTGTTTCCTAATTTTTTTATGGTTTTATATGTAAAGCACGTTGGTTCAACCATGGTTGTGTTTTAATAGTGCTGTATAAATAAATAAAAGAAAGAAAAGGAAGAAAGGAACAAATTAGTAAATCATGCGCACGATTTAGCCTACTATTTTTTCCCTGTGCGGGGCTCTGTAATTTAGTACTTTTATAACACAAGAGATACTTTTCAGTTTTGTAGCTGATTGTAGATCTGATAAAAACAAAAAGGTATTTGGTCACAAAAAAAAAAAAGACCTATGCAAGAGTGCATTCTGTTTACTGCTTAGTGCTCAATACCCTAAACGAGACTGTACTTTTCCAAATACCTCAGGGTGACTTCTGTGGACCGTTACTTTCTCTTATCTATGGGTCACGGATGGAGAAACACTTCCTTGTGCAATAAAATCCCAAATGGAGGCCATGCCATTGTGTGTAAGGGTCTATTTTTAGCACATCGGGTTGCATTTGAATAAGTTGTTTGGCTCTGTATATGTGTGTGTGTGTGTGTGTGTGTGTGTTTACCGGCAGCTGTGCTCGTTGAGTGTCTTCCCTCTCTTTGTACAGCTCACCTCCCTCAAACTGCACCTGCATTCGCAAGAGGGAGGCTTTGATGTCATCCTGTGGGCGGGGCATGGTGGACACACCTCTCTGGCAGGTGGTGGAGGGGCGGAGCTAGGCGGGAGGGCAGGAGGGGGAGGAGGAGGGGGTGTAGTTGGCACAAGATTCCTGCTGGCATGAGAGGGAAGAAAATAAGCTGTTGGTGAGAAATAAAGACAGTGTGTGACCTTCATATGCCAAATATGAGCATTTTGACATTGTTTATTGGCATATTACACCAAAAAAGCATCATGAAAGTAATACATATGTCTATTGAACTACATTTCAAGTGTGCTAAAGCCATGTGATAGATTTGTGAGAGTAGCTATTTTGAGTCTGGTACAAACCAACATGAACTATTTTGCGTTAAACAGTAAAAAAAAATAAAAATTGGGAGGAATCCCACAAACTAATTCAATTTCAAGTTGAAGAGCACAGATGTCCGAAGGAAATGAGTAATTTTAAAATGGTAAGAAAAGCCTCACAGTGATTGAGTAAAGCATATCTGACATAATACTTGCTCTGACAAGTCCGGCGCTGAGAGAATTATGTAAAACCGCAACAACGGACAAAGAGCACGTCGATCCATGCAATCATTAACTTAGCAAAACCAGACCTAAGCCTGCATCTCCACATTAGGCTTGAAATTAAATTCAATAACAAACACAAAAAGACCCATAATGCATTCTGAGCATGCATCAGCCCCGATCTTCTTTTTGGACGGCGGCACCACAGACACACTCTGGATATTGTCTGTGGCCGCCAGTTCTTTGATGTCTCATTTTGTGACGTCTCTGATGGGATGGTGGCCTGATGGGGCTGTTTTTCCCTCTCCCCTTTATTTAACTAAACCAAAACTGAAGAGAAGTGTATAGCTGCGAGTTAATTAAGGAAGAAAATCAATCTTTGTGTGGAAGTGGTTTGAGAGGCATGATAGAGCATGTGGAGGGGAGGCTGAGGAAAAGGGAGGGGCGTTCTGGCTGGCAAATTAGCCTGATTTCACACTTGCCACTGACTCCATCAATGGAGGAGTGCATGATGGATTGCAGGGAGGGAAAGATGGCCCAAAAGGAGCTCTCTCCCTCCACTTGCCCTCACCAAAAACCAATGACGAAGAAGCGAAAGTGAAAAGGAAGGAGAGGAACTGATTAATAGTTTCCCTTCGACCGGAATTCATTAATTGTTCTCTGAGATGAAGTCAATGCTGCGTGAGTAAATGTGTAGTACGGCACGTACGAAAAAAAGGGATACTGAGGGAATTCGCAGCTCTCTTTGACCAGAAATGGGATTCATGTGCTTTAGTGCTTCGAAATAGGTTTTAATATTTAATAATATTGATGGTACTAAATAAATAAAGGCAAAGCAAAGATTCATTATTAAACATCTTGCTAAACGGCTTCTATTAAATGTATATCAATGATACTTTCTACAATGGCAAAAGAGCATAAAATGTACCATGTTAGTCTTTAAAATGAAAATACCATGGTTAATTAATATACTAATAATATCCTTTAGTACCAAAGTTAATCCAAACAGCCTGAAAACAAGATTGCAACACTGTGTACAACATTATGATATCAATGTTTTTTAAGCCTCACCAAATTTTGTTAGATGTATGCTTAAACTTAAAACCGTATTCAGGACAAATGTGGGCAAAATAGTTTTGATTTATTTTTTCCTAAGTTTGCCTCCTGAACACACACAATTTTTTTTACTCAATTCTACAATGTTAAGTGGGTGGAAAAAACTCCTTAATCGTGTATTTGGGTCAAAAATAGGCACACATAGAAATGAATGGGAAAAACTGTAATTTAAAGCATTCGAAAATAAGCCAAAAATAAGACACCAGGTGACAGCACAGTCACTTCATCTTTAGGTTTTAGCTCTAAGAACTTATTGGAATGATATTTTAATGTAGTTTAAAAAATTTTAAAAAGTAAAACATAAAAATAAGCATAATTTACATAGAAAATATGGTACTTTTTGAAGGAAATAAATTCAAAAATACCCCCAAAATAAAAAAAAACACCATAAATGGATAGACAAAACTTTATCGATAGTGATATAACATTTATAATAAATAAAAATTAGGATCACATCCGAGTCCTCTGTGCCCACATTTGTCCACAATTACAGGATTAAAGGGCTATAAAGTGAATACGGTTTGAGGGCTACTGTACACACATGGCCAATGGGGTAAATAAACTTCTCAAGATATAATCTCTGAAAAAAAAGTATAATTTATAAAATTTTTCTTTTCAATTGTATTGATCTTGTTTTCAGAACATTCAGATAATAATAAGAAAGTACTGATTAAGAAAATTACTTTTGTGTAAGAGGAACATACAATGAACTTTTCCCCATGTGTTTCTTTCGTTTTGGTTTCCCCTTTTGCCGCTTTTTGCCTCTTCTGGTTGTCTGTGGGCCTTGCCTAAAAGAAAAAGACAAAATATAACATATATTAAATATAAATAAATAGGTATTAAAAAGTACATGGCCAAGACTCCATTCAGCTAACTTTATGGACAGACTTTCTACACTTTTTTTTATGTCAATGTCAGTCGAGTATTAAACTAAAGTTTATATATTTAATTCAGAGAGTTTTTAAGATGACTTTATCACGTCTTAATTCTTGTGATATTTTGGCTTTGGCCCGTCTGAGGCTCCTCAAGGGCCAGTGGCCTAATTAAGCAATAAAATGAATGTTCTGTTCCGTTTCCCAACAAAGGAGGGTTCTAGGTTTCTGACTCCCTTCCAACAGTGCAAAACGCACGCCAGCTGGACAAACACACACACACACACACACACACGGATTGAGTCTTTTAGAAGTCTGAGACATTTTTTTTAAACAACAAATACACATATGCAGTCACAGAAAGTCTTAAAGTGATAAAGTTTTCCTAAGGTATCTTCATCTACATAAATATTTTTTATTTTATTTAAATGAGCTCACTGGGAATTTTTAAAACTTTATGTTCCTTGTCATTCTTATTCTTATTCAAATGATCTTTTAAGAGTAAATTCCACGTTAAATTAACAGATTGGCTGTCCACTGGCAATAAAGAGAGGAGAATTAGGAGGAGAATTAGAAGTGTGAAGCTGAGAAGGACCAATGCCAATTTCACACATTACATCCTACTTAAATATTTTTTTTATGATTTACCACTTGCTCTCAACAGTTCTAATAACAGTATTGGTTATAATTAGCTGATGTCAGGATACACACTAAAATGAGCCTCAAGCTTGCAATAAAACTCAAAAATAGTGGTGTAAAATTATCATTATTATAGCTCATACTTAAAAGTAGTATGTACAAACAGACTAAGTACAGTTTATGCAACAGATAAATCCTGTGGCACAGTGTCTAAGCAGTTAGACTTGTGTTTTTCATCTAGAGGATCCTAGACGGGACAATGAAAGGGATATTTGTAAAAAGCATTAGCCTTTCTCTTTAACACCAGGGTCAGAGTAAACTAGTATCAGCAGAACAGACTGAACCAACCACCTCTGCCTTTCACACACAATTAACTCAGCAAGCAGCCATCTCCATGGAGTTAATGTGTGTGTGTGTGTGTGTGTGTGTGTGTGTGTGTGCAGTGGGGCAAAGGGAAGAGAGGGCAAATGCTGTTCACACTGCTGGTAAACTTCACATCACTCATTCTCACTCTCTCACACAGACACACACACACACATTACCTGGTTGGCTCTGCATAAAGATTTGCTTTTAGCCTGTAGGGAAAAGACAGACAGTTAAAACAGAATAATGATGAAATTTACAAGTAAAAGAAAGATCACATATTATAAAAGCATACGCACAGAGATATTTAATGGTTGATATTTAATTATTGTTCATATTTTATATTATTAAAAAAAACAACAACAACTATAACCCATTAAAAAGTATTAAACTGGTGGCATGCATTTTAATTTAATCACATTATAATCGACAAAGCTATTTTAAGCACTTAAAGTGAGAACTTCATCATATTATATTACTAAATCATATTATTATTTAATAATTGTAAAACAAAGCATCTGGATATGCTAATAATACATTCCCCACTGATTGGTGCACAGTGATTGCTGCTTGTTCAAATAAGTGCCATCTATTACCCGTATAGCAACACAGATAATATCGAAAACGTGACAAAATGGGCAGATTTCTAAACTCGTTCCTGGCTTTAGATCAATCCCGATATATATATATGTCGGATTTCTAATGGTTTCAGCATGTCGGAGTGTAAACGTTATCAAATGTTTTATCGCATGATAGCGTGAGCATTAGCAGAGCGATCAGAACGGGCGCAGGTAAACAGTTAATAATGTTGGCTGCGTGGGAGTTGGTCAACAGTAGTGAGTTCAGTTTGTACGGGGCAGATCAGTATTACAAAGAGAGGATAGAGAGGCGAGCGCATGTAAATGCTCTTACCGAAAGCTCAGCTCCAACCCTGGCCTTAATCCGAACCCCACAACCTCTGAAAGGGCTTTTGAGGAGAACCTCACAATGAACTGATAAAGAGCCGACGGTGACAGCTCGGCTACGTGCCAACAGAACAGTGTTTTGGGGGTGACGACTTTCTGTGACTGGGTTCAGGAAGTACTCCGTGGGGAGATGGGGTCATTCCCCATGTGACAGACAGGGTGGTTGTGAATTTGTGGGTGGGTGTATGTGGGGTGATCTGAAAGTCAGATAGGCTTTGGATTGGTGTGTGTGGGTGGGTTTACTTAACTATTTTTTGAGGACAAAATTCCCCAAATAAGTTGGCAATTTGTTTACTCCCTTTCGAGTGTTTTTCAATGGTTAAAATGATTAATAAATATAGTAACTCTTACATCCAATAATGCTTAATAACCCGACAATGAGGTCAAGTAATGTCCTTAAAGGAGTAGTTGACTTTTAAAAAAAACGTTTGCTGAAAATTTACTCACCCCCATGTCATCCAAGATGTCCTCGTCTTTCTTTCTTCAGTCGAAAAGAAATTAAGGTTTTTGATGAAAACATTCCAGGATTTTTCTCCACTTTACTGGGAACCAAACGGTTCAAGGTCCAAAAGACAGTTTCAGTATAAACTGTTCGAAGGTCTTAAAACGATTCCAGACAGTGAATAAGGGTCTTATCAAGCGAAACAATCGCTCATAAAAAAAATAATAACAAAGTTTTAGTTTTATAAGCTCAAATGCTCGCCTTGCTCTGTGATGCGCGTTCGTGACTCTCCTGTTCAAACTCGTTCATCAAAATGAACAAATATTTTTCCGAGTCAATTCCTTCATTTCGTTCATTGAATGAGCCAAATGACTCGAAAAAAAGATTTGTTCATTTTGATGAACGAGTTCGAACAGGAGAGTCACGAACAGAACAGAGCAAGGCGACCATTTGAGCGTATAAAGCTTAAACTTTGTATTTTTTTTTTTTAAATGAGCGATCGTTTAACTTGATAAGACCCTTATTCATCATCTGGAATAGTTTAAAGCCCTTCGAACAGTTTACAATTTGCACTGAAACTGTCTTTTGGACCTTGAACCGTTTGGTTCCCATTGAAGCCCATTATATGGAGAAAATCCTAAAATGTTTTCATCAAAAGCCTTAATTTCTTTTCGACTGAAGAAAGAAAGACATGGACATCTTGGATGACATGGGGGTGAGTAAATTATCAGGAAAAGTTTTTTTTAAAAGTGAACTACTCCTTTAAACTGTGTTCTTTTATCACAAATTTTTATGACCTTTAACAAATTTTGCTCCAAATACACTACCGTTTAAAAGTTTGGGGTCCTTAAGATTTTTTTTGATAGAAATGAACACAAGGACACGTTAAATTGATAAAAAGTGACATTCAAATAAATATATTCAAATAGAAAACTGTTATTTTAATTTGTAATAATATTTAGCAATATTACTGTTTTCACTGTATTTTTATCAAATAAATGCAGACCCCAAACTTTTGAACAGTAGTGTGTATACTTGCTTTCTGAGGGATTATTCAATGTGCTAATGTCATTTTACGTTTTCAAAATCTTTTTTCTTGAATTGTTTTCAGGTTTTTCAATGATCTGAAGTTTTTCTGTACATATAAATTATAAAAATTTAAGCCACAAGTACCACAATTTCAAGATTTCAAGAACTATTAGCATTCAATTTTGTAGTGCTACGTCTAGATGTTTCTGAATAGAGCGTGTCATGTGCACGGCCTCTTACACTCTTAGAAGAAAAGGTTCTATATAGAACCTTAAAAGGTTCTATCAGCGCTACGTATTTGGAACCCCTAAAAGGTTCTATACACTCTTAAAAAAAGGGTTCCTCTGGGTTCTATATAGAACCCTGGGGTTCCTTACTTGGCCAATAGAACCTTTTACCAAAAAAAAAAGGTTCTATATAGAACCATTTTGGAGTTCCATATATGAAGCGGGGGATGGAACCATTTCTGGTTCTAAATAGAACAATTTCTTCTAAGAGTGTAGGGTTTGGATTCGTCTGTCATAAATAGCTTTATATTAAAACAACACAAATCTATGGTATGCTGGCCCTTATATATATAGCTAGGTCAGTTTGTTGGAATATGTATGTGTGAGTATGTATCTCACCTGCACTCACACTGGTTGTGTTCAATGAAAGGCAGCTGCACAAGGTCATGCTTCATGTATGAGGTCCTCATGAGCTGTTGAGTTTAACAGAGCAGGAGTCAGTACACACACACACTGTTCTGCATAATAATGACTCTATCTTTTATCCAAAATCTCTCTAATACAGTCCGTGACCAGGATCCGTCCTGATCCATTACACTAGAGACTCCATCTAACCACACACTGAATATGTATGACTGACTCATGCTGTGTGTCCTCTGTGGCTGAGACATGAGGTTTGAGATCTTGTATTATACGGGGGGTAGTGTGTGGAGAAGCCTTGTGTAGCCTAATGACATAAGGTATAGGCTCTATAGCCACTGCTATTGGCCAATGACTGCACACTTAGTCAGGACGAGGCTGTGTTACTTACATGTAAAGCAACCAATCACGGTTTTGTTATGGGTCATGTTTAGGGGTGGGTACAATAGCAATTACAGCATGCTGTAACAGACTATCAATACCTTTATGTTTACCTGCATATGCAGCACATATTTCTTGATCTTCTTTTATAGATGTGAGAGGACACACAAAATGTGAAAAATCACATGGGAATCCAAAGGGTTGGCCAAGCTTGGGAAATAATAGTTTCCCTGTATATTGTCGGTACACATCCCTTTTGAATACAACTACAGTAAGTGCCTCAAACACATGATGTCTTAAAAGTTTCAATGCTGTAAATCCATAATTTTGTATTCATTTGTGCGGCATCGGATCTTTTAAACGCTGTTTTGTTTCCTGGTTTTTTGAACAGTTTTTTGAACAGTAGTCTAAGTTAGGGTTACGGTTAAGGTTAGATATAACCCTATAGGATATACAGAGTATTCATCTAATCTAATCTAATTAATTTTTTCAGATATTACATCTCAAGCACACTTTAAAATCCAAACATTTCACAAAAAGAAGTTTGTTGAATTATAAATGTTAAAACAATAGATAAACTGCTCAAAATGAAGATAAAAAGTACTGTGACACTGGATGTCAAACATTTGTGAAATATGTCCACAGTTAATGTGATGGACCACCTGAGTTGTGCATTTGTGTGTGTGTGTACCTCCATTACAAGTGTGTGTGTTTGTGATGGCACACACTCGAGCGCCTCATCGGAGCAGCAGCCTCCGCAGCGGCGCAGCGTTACACACGACGGCAGGAAGAGGTGATGCGTCTCCCAAGGAAACTCCCGCCAAACCTCCACCAACGTCTCTCTGGGATGACATCCGCTTCTCTGATACACATCCAACCACCTCACCACTGAGAGAAAGAGAATAAATGAAAGATACAGAGTCAGAAAACACTTCAGTCTCAAAAGGATAATTCAATTCGGTCATCATTTATTCATCCAAACATGTTTCCAAAATGAGTTCCTTTCTTTTGTTGAACACAAGAGAATATATTTGAAAGACTATCTATTTTAGACAACCTGCTTCATCATTCATTTAAATTATTTACTTGTCAGTGGAGATCATACAAAATCGGGGTGATGTGAATAGAGCTCTTGGTGTGGAAACAAGATATCCATGCTCTTATAAACTGTATTTAAATGAATTACTGTCGTAACTGACAGCATGTCAGAGATGACATTTATAGAGCATAACCCAGAACATTCCTCTAAATATTAAGCACCAATGTGCTGGTACTTTAAAGAAACCTATTTACTGATATGAAGCACTTATAAATGTAGAATTAAATATATTTTTACTCCCCAAAACATATGATTATATTACAATAGCAGATTCTTTAAGTGACCTTCCGCTAAAATAAATAGTCCTTGAAATCAAAGTTAATACACTACCATCCAAAAGTTTGGGGTCGTTTTGATAATAACAGTAATATTGTTATGCTTTTAAACAATTGTTTTCTATTTTAAATACTTTATAAGTATTTTGTTTCTGTTATGGGTAAGTCATAACTCCAGTATTTAGTGTCACATTGTCCGCTGATTTGCTTCTCAATAAACATTTCTTATAATTGTGTATTCTTATTAAAGCAGTAGTTCACTTTTAAAAAAACCTTTGCTGATAATTTACTCACCCCCATGTCATCCAAGATGTCCATGTCTTTCTTTCTTCAGTTGAAAAGAAATTATGGTTTTTGATGAAAACATTCCAGGATTTTTCTCCATATAATGGACTTCATTGGGAACCAAACGGTTCAAGGTCTGAATCTTTGAACGAATGAACAAATATTTTTTTTGGAGTCATTTCGTTCATTGAACAGAGCAAGGCGAGCATTTGTGCTTATAAAACTTAAACTATTTTATTTATTTTTGAAATGACCGATTGTTTCGCTAGATAAGACCCTTATTCATCGTCTGGTGTCGTTTAAAGCCCTTTGAAGCTGCACTGAAACTCTCATTTGGACCTTGAACCATTTGGTTCCCAATGAAGTCCATTATATGGAGAAAATCCTGGAATGTTTTCATCAAAAACCTTAATTTCTTTTCAACTAAAGAAAGAAAGACATGGACATCTTGGATGACATGGGGGTGAGTAAATTAACAGCAAAAGTGAACTAATCCTTCAATATTTTTGTGGAAACCATGATACGTTTTGAATCATGATGAATGAAGTTCAAAAGAACAGCATTTATTCCAAATACAATTTTTGTAATGTCTTTAATTGACTGCCACTTTTGAACATCATTGGGTAATTTCTGAATTAAAGTATTATTATTATTATCATTATTAAATCTTACAGAGCCCAAACTTATGAACTAGTATAGTAGACAGTACCTGCAAAGAGGCATTTTGCCAAGAACAATAAGGACCAAAAAACAAAATCAATTTTATTGAATAAGCTCACAAAATGAGTATTGCACCTATGATAATAGAAGTAGAAAAGAAAGCAAGACTCAATACCTTCTCCAGACCTGTGGCTCTCTGTTGGCATCCAGTGGTCTGACTAGAGGAAAGGACACAGACAAGGAGTCAGACACAACATACAGCAGAGACAATAACAAAACCGCATAAATGGTGCTGTGAAGAACTGATTCCAGTGAACATATGCTAAAAACATGATTTCTAGTGTTTATTTGTGCCAGAGCAGCATAAAGTTGGACATTAGCACACATTCACACAAACATGCCCCTCATACAATGGGGTCCGCGCACTGGAACAAGGTCACCGCCGAGAGAGAGCAGACTTTGCACTACAGCGCAAACAACACACGCATACATGGCTTCCCTGCACCATGCCTGACTACTTTCTGTGAGGGTGGTTTTCCGAGCATGTGTGTCAATCGCATTACAGGTGATCTCACACTGATATAAGCCAGTGCATTCAATTACACCCCCACAGACTCACACACATGGTGTGAGAATGAGTGCTTCTGCACGTTCATTTCGCAACGATGGCATCAAAGCAATAAATAAAGGTTTAACGTAATTAAACACAATATTTATCAGAAGACATGGCAGATCCTTGCACGGTTACGAGTGGAGAGGCCTCTGCAGAGTCTGTGTTGCAATATGAAGGTTGAGTCAGTCAATTTCTCATCAACCTCATGCCTCAGTGCCATTGTGAAATACAGCAGCCAGCACAGAGCTGGCAAGGGGACTGGCACACACACATATTAACACTCACTTTCACTCCCTGAAATGCACACACACTAAAAATCTCAATGCTGCCAGTTTTTTTTTTTTTTTTTTTTTTTTTATGCAGCAGTTGGCTGGATTTGGCTGCGTCAGTCCTCTCTTTCTAAAAGCCCTTGAGTTTGAGCACCAATCATCAGCTCAGCTGCCCCGCTCTCCCACAATCGCCCTCCACATGAAGACCGTGGGTCAGGCTGGCATTTGTGAACGGACTCGAGCGTTAAGAAGTTAGGAAACAAAGCTATCAGGCACTGGTTTATGGCAGATCCAAAAGTCTCAGATCACATGGGAAATCTGGGATTCTTTTTTACATTTAAGACGTTTTTTGGATGTTCACGCATTAAAAAAAAAGAGAAGTTATGATGTAAAATATTTACGATTTTGGACTATTTCTAGGTCAAATATAACCAAAAACATGAGAACTCCATTGAAGCAAAAGATGGAACGAACTTATCCAAACATGCTGGAGAACGTGACCATCAGGTTTCGTTCATGTCAGTTCCAGTGCTGCTGTCATTAAAGCATGAAACGGAAGTTGCGATAGTCTTTTCTTTTTTATTGTGACGAATATCTGAAGGGAGACAGCTTCTCGAACAAGATGAAATGTACATGGCCTGGGCACAAAAAAATGGTCCAAGCCAAAAATGGAAAAATATTTAGTGATCTTTTAATGGACTCTTAACCATTTCAATCACAAATTACTGTGAAAATTAGCCTGAATAGCACAAATACTCTAGATGCAGTAACTTAGCACCGAGTAGCCTTCCCTTTTGCATTCTTTAAACGTTTAAGCCGTGTGGTAAACTTGCAGACAGCTTCTTACAAGAAGGAGAGTCAATGTAGTTCTACTCAATGTCATTCGCTTCAAATAGTTCATGAGCAGTTGAAAAACGTCTCCCAGTTAGTTTGAGTTTTAATATAGGCGCTTTTCCACTGCATAGTACGGTACGGTTCGGTTCGGTACGGCTCACTTGTGGTGCTTTTCCACTGCATGGTACGGTACAGTACGGTTCGCTTCAGGTCGCTTTAAATGGTACCTGGTCTGTTGAGGTTCCAAGCGTACCGTACCGGTACTAAAATGTGACGTGAAACACTGCAGATCACTGATTGGTCAGACAGAATCGTCACTACCAGCGTCACTACTAGCGTCATTGGATTTGCGACACGAGACACGAGACACTTTTTTAGCAGTATTTTTGTTTTGCTGCCATCAGCCTCATTTTAAACACATTTTTCCGTCTAGCAGTTAAGAACAACCACATACCGAGAATCAGGAACACCATCCCCTCGATAGTCTCCATTGTTCCTGAGTTGTGGGTTTGAAAATGTGGCGCTTTTAAGATGATGTCATGGCAGTAGAGGCGCGCGCAAATAACGATCAGTCCCACACACTTTGAAGGGGTACTACTGCAGTGGAAACGAAAAGCGATCCGAAGTGTTCCGCGCCGAGTCGAAGCGTACTGAGCCGAACCGTACCGTACTATGCAGTGGAAAAGCGCCACATGAAACCAAATATTGTCTATAGGGTTCAAATCTGGACTCTAACCAGCCAAAACATCAGCCTGATGGCCACATCTTGGTTGTGTTTGCAATTTAGGCAGGAGCATTGTCTTGTTGAGAAATTACATCTGATCATTCCATGTTAGATAACAAGTTTTCAGTAGTGGGAAGCAAGCCATTCTGCAATATTCTCCTGTACTCGAAAAAGCATCACAGTGACTTAGCTCACCGATACCAGCAGCTAACATGACACTCTTCCTCCATGCTTCACTGTGGTAGAAATGCATTAGCAACTCGTGTTTCATTGTGATTCATTACTCCACACACACAACTTCCCATATTCTGGCAAAGAATATATTCTGTCTTATGTATTTCTGAGACAGCAATGGCTTTTTAAGTAGGCCATTTGCTTAAGTTTTGCTAATTTCCTGAGCAATAATTTGAGGTTAAAGGGTTAGTTCACCCAAAAATGAAAATTAAGTCATTAATTACTCACCATCTTGCTGTACCAACCCAGTAAGATCTTCGTTCATCATCGGAACACAAATGAAGATATTTTGGATTAAATTTGAGAGGTGGATCACTGCTACATAGGCTGCCTAAGGGATTGAAACTTGACGGCCCAGAAAATCAATGAAGAAAATGTTTAAATATTCGCTTATCAAGCAACGAGAATACATTTTGTGTGAAAAAACAAACAAAAATAACGACTTTATTCGACTACTCCATTTCTTCCTTGTAGGCCTGAGACGACTTCAAGAGATTTCCACGACGCATGCGCGAGAATTGCGATCTTCTTCAACAACTTCAGTTCAATTCTCACGCATGTGTCGTGGAAATCTCTTGAAAGCTCTTATAGCATGGGGGTGAGTAAATAATGACTTAATTTTCATTTTTGGGTCAACTAACCCTTTAAGAAAGCTATGCGTTTAGGGCGGGACTGGATTTTGCCCATAGAGACTTGATTGGATGGTTGTGGTTTGCTATTGGTGGATCTCATGTGAGTGAAAGGTTGCCTTCACGACAGTAAACACATCATAGAAGAAAAGAGATGCTGTAAGAGGGAAAGAAAGTTTTTTTGATTAAAAATTATAAGTGCACAGACATTTAAAAAACTAATGATGTGCACCGAACAGATAAATCATTTATAATAAATACTGCAATTTTCCATTTTTAAAAATCCATAAAACAAAAAAAAAAAACAACAAAAAAAGGTTTGTTCATTTTGATTTTCATTGTGACTTTAAAGCAAGAGGAGACAAACCAAATACTGTATTCGACCGGATCACAAATGCGTCTTTATAGCATGCAGCCGGTGTTTTTTCGCTAAAGTGAGTTTTTACGTGCATGGTTAGGGTAGGTTTATTGGTGGTGTGGGGTGCGTGTGTATTACACGCAAATGAACTGTCTGCGTCAACCCGGTCTCATCCCAAATCGTCATATAACTGACGTTTTGGGACGTCTTTTGACCATACGTCAATATTCGCCTTTTTAGGGCCCCCTTAAACGTCGGTAGATGAGGTTATGGGATCCTAACTCTACCCCATACCTAAACTTAACCCTAAACCTAACCCGTCACCTAACTGACGTTAAAGGTAAAGCGTCAGTTGTATGACGGCCCGGGATCGCCATCTACCGACGTTTAAAGGTGCATTGCGCAACATTTCATGTTAAAAATAGCCGTTTTCTAACCCATACATGCTTAAACACTTGCCTGATGAGCTGAATGAGCCCTTCTCTGATCACTGAGATCGCCTCTATAATCCTGTACAGTGAAATATATAAGAGGGATTCGGGCTCGAATCTGAGACTGGGCGTGACGTCATGCGCGTTCACGCTCGCCTGGCTATGTCTGGCAGGTTCGTGTAGCTATTCGCCGCCGTTCTCCGTATCAGAGAAGACAACTCGAGCGACACAACTCTAGTCAGCTTTCCACAAAAGTAGACGATGGGTTCAAAGGGGCTGTTTACACCTGGTCACTTCATGTGTTTTCTGTGATCGGATAGCTATTCGATCGTGAAAAGACCAGGGTGTAAATGCCCTCTGAAACGCGTTAGAGACGGATGAATCCGATCGCTCAAACCACTTGAGGACGTGGTCTGGGCCGCATTCCAGACGAAACTGGACAAGTGTAAATGCATCTGGTTGTTGAAACCAAGCTATATGTCATGTTATTTTAGTCATATATGACGACGCGCATCACCTCAGATGAGCAGCTGAGCTGAGCAAGCCAGCGCGCCGCAATCTATCGCAAATCAAAGTGAAAGTAAGTCGCAGACGCTTAACACTACCATCTTCATTAAAAGTAAAGAAATGAATTGATCTTACCGGGCCTGTTGCCGATCTCTCTTATTGCTGTCTTTGCTGATTTTGAAATTAGCCGATGAATAATAAAATCCAGCTCATATCTGTTGCTTTCGGTGACGTGCACTTCATATCTGTATATGGCGCGGAAAGAGACCGGCTTGTAGTTCATTACAAACCCCAACGCAAACTCCGCGTGAGACAAAGAAAATAAAACTTCAGTCTGTCCAGTGCCAGGCGTCGGAATAAGACGAGAGTCGACATCGGGAAGGCTTTCAACAAACGGAGAGATCTCTGGTATGCTCTAGGGCTCAAACGGATCCTGTACAAAGTGATAACTGAACGTGTTTCCATAATAATTCAATCATAAGTGGATACAGTAAGCACAGGGAGATAGATGGAAACAAAAACGGAAGTTTTCTACTACCCCCGTTTCCCCCTCTCACACACATAAGTGTGTAATTTACTCGAATGCCTTTCCTTTCATATACTTTAAATGACTTGCAGATTTATTACTGTATTACCTCATTATGACTGTAACAAAAGATGTGTGCCGCACAGTGTGCGGCTGATGCTCCTTAGGTTATGAACAGCTCGTGCAAACGTGCGTATGTGTGTGTGTTCCTCCATGAACGCGCACAGCTCTGGTTGCAGTTTCGCTTGTCGCCAGAGGGGGCGTAGTTCTGCAAAAACTCAGAGACTTGCGTTTAGCTCCTTTAAGGAGGCCCTAAAAAGGCTGATATTGACGTATGGTCAAAATACGTCCCAAAACGTCAGTTATATGACGATTTGGGATGAGACTGTGTTATCTGCGTATCATATGCACACACTCATTTTCGCGTATAAACTGCACGACAATACACATTGCGTGCTATAGAGACGCGCAATTTTCTCTCACATTTTTATTTTGATAATATTATTTGAAAGTGAAAAATACAAGTATGCAAAATGGAACTATTTTCGCTGGTGGCCTCAGACTTCAGGACTGCAATGCATACACAGAAAACGTTCGCACTAAGCAGCTTCATCATCACTGTGCACGTGACAGGGAGAACCCTAAAGGTCACAGGGTTAGACTTTTCGTGCCATACCATATCATGCACTTTCACCAAGACTGGCAGCATGCCATGCAATGTAATGCAACATTCTGAAGGTTTACATTTCACGGCATCTTCAGCATCATCAAATTAAATATACTAGAGCCAAACTGCAGTCTAAAATAAATAAAAGAAGTTTCGGCTAAACACAACAGGACAAACGATGAGTGGAGCTGCATCATTATGAAGACTTATGATATGCATCCATAAAGCAGAGCTCTGGTCACACGTACACCGAGCAGCAGACCACATACCGCTGCGCTTGCGAAGAACGGAGATGCGCAAAATCAGTGCATTCTGCCATCATCCTGCTTTCATATGCTACAGCTCGCAATGCTGATATTCTAACAATAGGTGTCATATACTGGCCTGATGGCTGTAATGTTGACAAAAGCTTGTGTAAGTGAAGATAACGATAAGATAGGAAGTGCGTCACTGTCTATCCTTCGGAGATCCAGACAAAAAACAAAAAGGACATAAATATGTTTAGGGCAAACAAATATATATAGCCTTTTAAAATGTTATTATTATTATTATTATTATTTTAAACACGCACACAAATTATTAAACAGCCACTAAGAATGTACGAGGTAGGCCTATAGAAACTGCACGAACTAGCCAAAATATTGAGACTAAAAAAAAAGTAAAAATGAAGAAAAAAAAAAAAAACTTATAGGCTAGTGGTAATAAAAAATATAATATTACCACATTAAATTATGCATTTAACTATTTGAAACATTTAATAATATTCTAGCATTATATTAGCCTATAATTAATATTATTACCATCCCCACATTATTAATTAGGCTATCATTGGCCACACCCCCATGATGTGCTCTTTAACACCCTCAGATCGCTGTGCTCTCAGACAATAAACAAAAAAAAAATATAGGCCTATACCCACTGTGAACACAAATACATGTGGGTTTTATCAAAGCATTATATATCTTTAAAAGCAGCACATTTCCCATCCTGCCAAACGTCAATGACCGTCAGGTTATTTCAACATATAAAAGCTTAGACGAGTGTTGAGCATTAACTCAGCTCTATAAAGTGCATTTTACAAGCAATGGTGTAAAATCTGCCATAATAAAAGATATTTATTCAGTGTGATAAAAGACAACCACAACAGAGTTAGGCTAATTTAATCAAATCAAGTTTAAAGATTAATATAAAGAACACACTTTATAGCGGCTGATTTAAATAATCTGCGAGAGCATGTAATGCTAACTAGGCCTATATAATTATCATTAGGCTATTAAAATACAGAGCATGTTCTTACCGGTGTCTTGGCACATTGTGTGGGTATTCTGGCAAGTGAGACGAACTGAAACATTCCCAGAATAACTCTCAGTTTGATCCCCATTGTTTGAGTTCACCAAGAAAAGTCCGAAATAGTTGAGTGAATAATATAACAAGAGGTCCAACGTCCAGTCCTGTATACAGTTGGTAATTCTCTATGAATGATTATTCCACTTTCACATCCGAATCCAACATCTTTAATCCAAACAGTGACAATTTACTCAGTAGATTCTCAAAAAACAGAGCAATTGTCATTCCTGTCATGGTTTAACGATAAAAGAAACAAAAATGAAATATAAGTTTTAAAAAGGGACACAACACGGGCTCCTTGAGTAAAAAGGCTTTTGAGATGCCCAGATGACCGTAGGACGAATTTATTATAAATAACTAGCTATAATAATCCCAATGGGCTATGTTATTTTACAGGAGAGTTTTCCATGCATTTCATTTATACCGGCTCCCTCGCAGCAGAATTCCCGGTGGAAGTAGAGTACGTCCTTATGGTCCAGAGGAACATATATCCGCTAACAAATAAATATATCCTCAAGAATCGATGTAATGAGCCTCCTGAAGGTCTCTGTGTCTCCCGTCTGGTATTTCAGACCCTTTGCTTTGTGTGGCGCATCCCGTGCTACTGTAGGTCACCAGTGAAATCATGCACCTATGATGACGCTTTGCTTGTCAGACACGAGATCTTATAATTTAAATGTTCGACATATTCATAATATATAGGCTACGCAATGCACATGCGCCTATATGGAATAGTAATCAGAGAAATGCACCTTGATATGGTTAAGGTCGTTTTCTCCAGTCTCTTATTTGCCCTTCAGGACTCACACGCTCCCCAACTCTCGGTGCGCGTCACCGTCGCGCTCGTGGAGGAACTTTTCTTTTTTTTCCCCTTGACGCGCAGACTTTGCTCGCGCGCAAACTAGCACAGGTGTAATGCTCGCGCATCGTGAGGTGGACAATTATTAACTGACTCCCCCTGTCTATTTGTGAGTGCTTGTCTCTGTCAGGGTTTTTTGAGTTATTTTTTAAAGGAGAAACGTAATTTAGGTTTTACACCCTGATCTGACAGGATGACGGATAAAAAACGGATACTTTCGGTTCTGGATGCAGATTGGTAAATTTAGCTACAAAATATTAGTGCGATAAACAGTTCAAAGCGAAACGGTGTGGATATTATCTACCTCACTTTGTTCTAAATAACTTGATTTCATGACATTTCATATTTTTAGCTTAAACAATAATAATAATAAAAAACAGTTACCACATTAATCGCATTTTAGGTTACCTGACAAGACATTTTTTAGTGTAGAAACGCGAAACACCTGTTTACCTAGTTACTATATCACTGCGCAGCATCCATAGAGACCCGACTGTCAACCAGGGACTATATCTTGCTGCGGAAGGATGGAACTTAAAGGGACAGTTCACCCAACAAATTAAAGTATACCCCATGTCGTCACAAATCTGTATGACATTCTTTCTTGGCAAAGACAAAAAAAAAAAAAAACAACAACAACAACAGTTTAGCAAAACGAGTGAGCTGCTTTTGGACAATAAAAGTAGACGGGGAAAGGCTCCAAAAATAAATTTAAATCTAAATCTTCTGAATACAACGATAAGTTTGACTAAAAAACGAAAACAAAACAAAAACCCTTTAAACAGTCACCATTCACTTCAATGTATGGAAAACAGCAACTTGGACATTGACTCATTTTGTTCTACAAAAATAAACCACGTTTCGAAAGACAAATGTATATTTCGGCCAAACTATTCTTATCCATTAATTTTTAAATGATGCAATTATTTTCCAACCAATGTTGTGGACAGGACTATTTTTTAAAATTCATTCTGCAGGCAATACTTAAGCTGCAGAATGCACCTACAAACTTTTACTTGCCAACTACATAATATAAAAAAAATCTAAAATCAATTAAAACTTTGCTGTGCATTATGTTGACTATATTATCAACATAACACAGCCTCAGAAGTCAGTCCTGTGACTATCCATCTTCAGGTGTTAATTCAAAATAATTAAGTTGTGCAGCATCTGAACTTGAACCCACCCCACTTTGCTTGCATGTGAAGACCCTCAACATCACCCGCAGGTATGTTTGGGTTATACACAGCAACAAAAAAAAAAAAAAAAAAAAAAAAAAAAAAAAAAATTCATGTGGGCTGCAGGAATGCAGGCTGTTCTATCTCTCCTGGACTGCTTACAGCATTAGAGCTGACAACCGCAAAGAGCCCTTTCAGAGTGTAACCATCTAAAGGCCTTCTGGAAAACCCAGAGTGGCCAGGAGAGAAGGTCCAGTCATCACATATCCAAATAAACAAACTGGGCCAAGGTCACAAGATTTCACCATTGATACTGCTGAACTGTGGGTGATGTTAGCCTTTCTGAGAAGTCTCCCCAGACGGTGCCATGAAAAAGTTCAGTTTTAAAACGTCAAAATGATAGAAGGTGCCCTTGTACAGACAGACAGGCAGAAAAAAAAAAACACTGTCGAAACGGTCCCCGACTCATTCCTGAAAGCTGGTATCTCCAAGATCAGACCTGAGCAGAGAGTAGCACCTGCATATGGGCCCTATGCGATATCAGAAAACCACATCAGACTGAGTCCATGGCTGTGGAGTCACAGAACGTCAACATCCGCACATGGGTTTGGGAATGTCAGGCTTACACGCACCTACTGTAGTGGATTCTAGAATGTCGTGAACATCGCTAATTGGGAATGACGTAGTTGACGTTTTTGTTTGCCAAGAGGAGTTAAAAAGTGGGATGATAAACAACAAGAAGTAATTGAAGTATGTGGGATGTTTTAGGTTGTGTTGTTTAGAGAACTTACCCGGCAAAGTTTAATACTTAGGGTTTTGTTCAAATCACTAAACCCAAGTATGAACAATAGCAAAACTGTTGCTTACCTTTGGATAGAAGTACACTGCCATTAAAAGTATGGGGTCAATAAGTTAAAATCCACAAAAATGTTTTCAAATACAATTGTACATTCCATTACGGGAATAAATTAATAATATATATTTCACGATTCGATACATATCACGATACTGAACTCGCGATACGATATTATTGCGATACTCCAAGATGTTAACAAAAATGTACTGTTGATTAAAATGCTAAATTTGACATTACATTGTGGGTTTAAATGAATAGGCTTGGACTTGGTGCTTATAACCCAAGGACAATGGTGACACCAGAATAAAAATATTCATGATTCTGAATGAACATGATTATATATAGTAGTTTAATGTAGTACTAACACTAATTTTTTTTCTCACACAGTAATTTTGATTTTAGGGGGACGATACATATTGTTGCGTTTTTGCATTGCGATATATTGTGGCACGATATTGGTACACCCCTAATATATATATATATATATATATAAAACAATATTAAAATGTGAAAAAAATTCAGATGAAGAACTTAGTTACATAATTGAGATCCATATCGTCTTTAATTATTCATTGCTACAAACACAATGACATTAAGGCTTGCATTAGAGTTATTCCACACATAATCAATATTTCATTTTTATTAATGAAGGTGCTCTGGTAATTTAAAGTTACTGACTATTGCAGAATTTACATTAAATGTCAAACCCTAAAAAAACAAACATCCCAGAAATCCAGTCTTTAAATAAGGCAATGACATGGATATCTAAGAAGACTTCATTTGCAGAGCCATGCCTTGTGACAGCCAGGGTTTGAATCCAGGATAAAGGAATTGTTTAATATAATCTTGTTATATAGTTCTTATATAATAACTTGGAGGAAATGCATTTGATATGCAGACTATATCTTTTACATGGGGGAAAGAAACGTCTCATCATTTGTCAAAGCACCATTTACTTCTTGTTCAAGAAAGAAAATCTGATGTTGCATTTACCTGAAATAAGTCACACTGGACAGCACTGATCTGTCCATCTTTAGAACATTCTTCCATGAGAAACTCTGTGACACATACACACACACACACACACACACACACTGAGCTTAACAAAGTGCACAATGTACAGTGTTTTCAGTGTTTTGATGAACTACTTTATCAGGAATGCAATGTTTCCATAACACCCTTTCCAGGTGCAGTTACAATGTCGCCTAACATGCAGGCAATACAGTAAATGTACAGGTGTTTTCAACACCTGATGAGGAGCCATGGTCTCCTATAATCAGCCTAATTTCTCTTGCACCCTCTGTGACCTTATCTGACAGAGTTGGGTGAAAGAACAGGCCAGGAAATATTCCTGCATGTAAAAAAAAAATAAAAAAAAAAGATACCATTTTGAAACACGCAGTGAGCGTCTGAGAACCTTATTCGTGGATCTGACACAATGTGACCCTAGAAAAATGTATAAAAACTATTGACACAAAATACAATTCACATTCACCCACAACCTGCACTCTCTCCATAACCCTCTGCGATGATGAGCTTCCTGTAGCTCGGTCTTTTCCTTGCTTTACTTCTCTTCTCCATTACTGCGGATCTTGTATTTCTCTAGGAACTCGGCATGTTTCTGTCTCAGGATCTCCTGCTGCTTCTTAAAGCCATTCACTCTAGAGGACAAAACAGAAAGCATGATCAAATCAACTATGTACAATTTCTTAAAGAAAAGTGCAACTCCATGGAAAAATCTCTGGTATTATGAGAGGCCAGGGTTTCCCAAATATGGGTTCGCAAGGGAACTGTGGTGGTTTGTGAGTTAATAAAAAGCTAGGAATTATTTATTTCAAATGTACAATTATAATATAATGATAATCGTGAGATAGCCGAGTGCAATTGTCAAATAAAAGGCTCCAGGTTTACTTTATTCACATATTTACATAATCTCCAACATTTTTGAAGACATAATTTTATAGCATTCCACTAGTATTCTACCAAAATAAAAAAATTGAAATGTTAAATACTTGTAAGAGTTTGAACGTTTAAAAGTGAAGAATTTGACATACATTTTTTGTATTCATGTAAAATAAATATTTAAAAAAATATGTAAAATAATATTATAATTATATCAATAATATATATTTATGAGGTAAACAACAATAGTAATAGTGCTGTCAAATCGATTAATCGCATCTAACAAAAGTTTTTGTACATAGTTTTATATATATATGTGTGTATGTATGTATATGTGACAGCACTAACTAATAAATATTACTATTACTCAATATGATTGTGTTCCCAAAACACCAGTGTGAATGTAATGTGGACTGAGACTCAAATAAAAAGAGGTTTGAGTCCACTTTAAAGTCCAGCTAAAAAGTCAAAATAAAACATTTATTTTGAAATATTTTATCTATTTACTTGCCTTTGACCTGATCAACTGATATCAGAGAACTGTGAACATACAAATGTAATGTTAAAATGTTAAATCATTGAGATATTAACAAAATCTCAATGGGTGCTTCAAGTACATATTTTAAGGGTTCGGCTGACAAAAAACATTTGGGAATATCTGTGCCAGTCTGATTTATGATATTCTGGTCCCATTTAGCATTGTTATAATTACCAAATTTTTCATTTTTCAAAATTTGACATGATCTACACAAGTACTCAAAGTACGCAAGTGCACAGTCCTGTTGAACAAACTCAAAATGTGCTCTTGAATTACTGTGGCGACAACAACCTTCAGTACTTCAACCTAATAAATGAATAGCTAATAAAGGACAAATCCATCAAGGCTGTCAAATAAACATGCGATGAATCTATAATCCTCTTCCCTTGTCCCACAACTACTCTCCTTTACATTTCAACAATGTCTCCATAGTTTCAAACGCTCTCGCTTTCGTGTTCAAAACCTCTGATGCGCCTCCTGAGGTTACATCAAACTGCTCCCCACCTGGCTCTTTCTTTGGATTCATTGTAGATCTCACTGATGACTCTGTCCTTCTCATCCATGAAGTTATTATGGACCTCTTCCAGTTTCCTGCATGACAGACCAGCCCAGAGGTCAAAGGTGAACAGATTTACTGCCAACATATATATTTTGTGGGGTGAACAGACATCCACGAGGTGCCCACATAACTTCGGGGTCACATTTAAAAGGGCACATGGGCAATAAAACATTTGATCATTTTTCAAAACATTTCAAGAGGACTTCTGCTACGCGTCAACCGAGCAGTGTCTGTTTATAGAAGATACTTAATCTCAGTCGCCTGAATTCAAGGTGTAAAAACAATTCGCTGATACTGGAAAGCATAACTAAACATCAGGGATTATGGGAAACCAGTGAACACACTCTACTGGGGTTTGTCTGGCTCTGGGACAGACAAAATGCCTTTCAAAAACAACACACCGTTATCACGCGCTCATCAGAAAAGCGACGCATGAACAAAAGAAAAACATTTTGCACTGTGTTTCATGCAAACAGTTGCAAAACACTCACTTATCAGCACAGCGTCATTCAGAATGTGATGAAAAATATTAGGATGAACCGCTGTGCATGCTGACCTCAATACTATGTGCACCTTGATATGATTCGGTCTCACCTGAACCCAAAGTAATGTGCGGAGAGACTGATTAGCATGGTGAAGACGCAATAGCCCACCAAACGCTTGTTCCGTTTCCTTTTCTTTTCCCGCTCCTCAGCCGTGTTCTCCTGAGGCTGGGCCTGTCTGAACTGCTCCCAATACCGCATGCTCTCCGTAGCCTCCGCACTGAGAAACACAGACACACAGTACTTTAGCCATTGAGCCATGATCTTTTGTAACCACAGAAGGAACACGTATACCCAGAAATGATCCTATTAACTTTCGTATGAATTGTTTTGAATTATACAACAGAGCACATTTTTTCTATATGGACTAAAAATCGTTTTCATAACCTTTCAACTTTTCTGAACAAAAAGGGTCTAGTGTTAGGGTGTTCTGGGTGGTTGCTTACTGGTTCAAGTCTCCCTAAGTCTCTATGATAGACTATTCTGGGCCCTCAATTATAAAGATGTACATATAATAAACAAAATGTGAACAGACGACAGTTTCCGAAATGTTCTTATGAGCGACAAAAAAAGCGACCCTAAATGCGACCCTTTCTATAAATGGCAGTTCATCTCAAATTCAAGCGTAATGTGTTGTCACACACACATCCTCAGTGGGCAAAGAAGTGCACTCTCAGAGAATATATGTGTGGTAGGAAAGGCCTGGTTTCTGTTTGTGTGTGTAGGCATATATTATTATTTTCAGGAAATCATTCATATATGCATGTAATTATCACAAAAACTTAAAAATCTTGCCCATTTGTGCATTTAATTAAATTAATGTATAATGTGGTGGCCTAACTATCTTTAAAGTTTAATAAACAACGTGTTAATGATAAATTAATTATCAATTAATTAATTTAAAGGAGTAGTTCACTTTTAAAAAAAAACTTTTGCTGATAATTTACTCACCCCCATGTCATCCAAAATATTCATGTCTTTCGTTCTTCTGTCGAAAAGAAATTAAGGTTTTTGATGAAAACATTCCAGGATTTTCTCCATACAATGGACTTCAATGGGAACCAAATGGTTCAAGGTCCAAAAGACAGTTTCAGTGCAAACTGCAAACTGTTCAAAGGGCTTTAAACGATTCCAGACGATGAATAAGGGTCGTATCTAGCGAAATGATCGCTCATTTAATAAATAAATAACGAAGTTTAAGTTTTATAAGCTCAAATGTTCGCCTTGCTCTGTTCTGTGATGCGCGTTCGTGACTCTCCTATTCAAACTCTTAATCAAAATGAACAAATCTTTTCCCCGAGTCAATTCGTTCATTTCGTTCGTTGAATGAACCAAATGACACAAAAAAAGATTTGTTCATTTTCATAAACGAGTTCGAACAGGAGAGTCACGAATGCGCATCACAGAACAGAGCAAGGCGAACATTTGAGCTTATTTTTTTTAAATGAGTGATCGTTTCGCTTGATAAGCCCCTTATTTATCGTCTGGAATCGTTTAAAGCCCTTTGAACAGTTTGTAGTTTGCACTGAAACTGCCTTTTGGACCTTGAACCGTTTGGTTAACAGTAAAGTCTCCATTATATGGAGAAAAATCCTCCAACACGTTTTCATCAAAAACCTTAATTTCTTTTCGACTGAAGAAAGAATGATATGGATATCTTGGATGACATAGGGTTGAGTAAATTAACAGCAAAAGTTTTTCTTTAAAGTGAACTACTCCTGTAAGTACTGCTACATGAGCCCAAAAAAGTTAATATGCATGCTTTTTGTCGCCACATTTGCACGTCAGTTTCTGCCTTTATCGATGCCGTTTTTTCCCTCACTTTTGACATAAGATAAAATCCATGGAATTTATGTGTGTTTTTAAAAATGAGGCCCCTGGTTTTCTATATAAAGCAATGTTATAACTTTCATGATGGTATAAAATGCCCACTTTCACAATTCAGGTTTCACAAGTCAAGTTGGTTGATTATAGAGCTAACAGTCTCCCAGTTGTTGCTCACCTGGGGCTGTTGGTGGAGCTGGAGGAGGTTCTGAAGGACGGACCTCCAGACTTCTGGTACCTCAGCTTGAGGTCATAGTCCCGTCTGGAAACGTCTCTGCTCAGCACCCTGTACGCCTCGTTCAGATGCACAAACTGAGTGTGCAGGCCGGGGTTGGAGGGGTCACTGTCTGGGTGCAACTGAAGGAAAAATGCAAAAGAGGATAGAGAGAATAAAAGCTTGTTCCAATATCTTTACCTGTAATGTTAGAAGTGACACTTGCCAAAGCATGCATGACTAATTACGGCATTGCTGTGTGAATGCTAATGAATGATCTTGATTGGGTTGTTAATTTCACTGTTAGTTAATTTATATTTCCGTCAAAGGCTTTCAGTTGTTGCTGCTACTAGTGCAGAAATTACATCTTCACATGTTCACTACTTCCCATGTAGTGACAAATAAGGACTTAAAACCATGATTTTATTATTATTCAAAACTTAATTTATTACATTATTTTAACTATCATGCGAGACAATCAAAGGAACAGGGACTGACATACATGTACAAACATGTAGTATCCTTAATCCATTGAATTCATAAAAACACTAAATAAAGCCCATCAGATTAATACATTTCTCATATTTAATGAATAAAAAAATGCCAAAATTCTCATCTTTACGACCTTTTGGCCTTTCTGCTCTCACTTGTTCTGTATGTCACATGGCTCATAAACCTTTTATGACCTTTTATCTGCTTCTGACTTGGAAACAAAGCGCCCATATCCCCAGCTTGTACCCTCATCTCCTGTCTCTCACACACACAAACACATGCGCACACACACACACACACACACACACACACACACACAAACACACACACTCACAATCTCTTTCTCATAGACAAACGCATAATTGTCTTATTCCTTCTGTTTGATTCCTGTGAAACTGTCTCCCCGAAACATATTGAATTTCTTTAGTTTGAGACGTTGACAAATTATACACACAAAAAAAGTGCTGAGAGAAAAAAATACAAGAATAAATGCCTAAATATTTAAGAATATGGGAACAGACAGCAGTCTTTCTGCCACAACTGAAGAGCTCCCTCTAGGGGTGAGGAGGTAAATAACTAGGCATCATTTTTGCACAACCATAAAACATTTTCAGAATGCATCAAGCAACTTTTTAACAGGATTAACTATGTTTTAGAGAAGAATTCTGAGGATCCGTCTTATTTTTTGATCAATTAAATGCAAAGTGCCAAATACGTTGCAATTTAATGCATATTTTGCATGCATTTTGCTAACTCCCCTTCCATTCTCCTTAAATCAGGATGGATTCTGATTGGCTGTCAATGTTCCCCCACCATTCATCAGCTGGAAAGAACAAATTCTGAAAGTGATTCCAACTATATTGTTCCTCTATGTCATTATTGGACTTCGCTATTCTCATAGAATTATTAGAATGTTTATTAAAATGTTGTAGTTATAGTTATTGACCTTACTGTGGATGTGCTTGAATAGCTGTCAGACCTATGCAGTCAGTATAGTTTGTGCCAATTGTAACACTAGACTCTATGACTCTAAAATAACAGCATAATCATGAGAAATTAACCTTTTTGGACTTGTCGAAAAACGCATTCTTAATTTGTTCCAGCGTAGCGTCCGGTTTCACCCCGAGAAGTTCATAGTAATTGGCTGATGATCTATAAACAGAATGAGAGGCGATTAAAACAGATCATTTCTCAACACTGTCTTCATAATGATAAGATTTTAAAAAGTTTCTCTACAATAATAATAACAACAAACAACTGCAGCCAAATCTCATAATCTTATGCCCCTGATGATAATAATAATAATAATAATAATAATAATAATGTACAAAATAACTAATTTCAAAAATAGATTTTTATGTTTTTCAAACTAAAATGTGGGTGATAGCTGGTGGTTGCCAGGGTGTTGCTATGGTGTTTTCGGTTGTTGTTGGGTGGCAGACAGGGTGTTCACACCCCCATGTTTCTATAATATTCTGCTCTATAGATATGACGACATCAGCTCTGAAGAATGCATTTTACATAAATGCTCTGAATCAGGAACAATAATTCAGCTCACATTCAGACATTTGAAATCAAGTAAATTCAAGTCTATTTCAGACGATTTTTTCTCTCTTCACAAAATCTCAATGAAAAAAGTGAATTTCTTACTCAGTATTTTTACAGTAAAACTATCTAAACCATACATTTAATAGAGAAGAAAAAATACTTCAGATATTAAGTCTTTGTTTTCTGATAAATGTATACTTCAAAAGAGAGAATATCTGCTAGTGGGGTAATTTTCCTTTGAAATAAAGTTTATTTCTCTTTTTAATAGATTTCAGAATTAACTCACTTAATTTTTTTTTTTTTTTTAAATCACAGGAAATATCATGTCAAATCTAATTTAGCTGCTCAAGTAAAAGTATCTTGATAAAAGAATGTTTACATATTTGTACTGGAAAACAAGACAAAAATACAGGGTAAGAAATCACTTACTCTCATAATACACGAGTAATAATTCATGTATTGTTACTGCTGAAATGAAAACAAGTTTCATTCATATTTAACAGATAAATAAAGTTTGGTGGTACATACCTCTGCGCATTACAGAGTGAGAACAGCCTCTGAGAACTTTTACAGTACAACAAACAACTCTGACAGAAACGAAGCTGAGCCATCACCTGCATGATGCTCAGAAATAAACTCAATGATAAATCTGAAGAACAGGAGAGAGAGAGATGTGTTATGTGCACAGACAAGAAATAAACACAACTAAAACAGATCTTTATTATAGTAAGAGAAATTTGTTTTTTGGATGTTTTGTTTGATTTTTTTCTGTGGTTTCAGCACATTCAATGTATCCTGCGTTTGGTTGCAGTTTCAGGATGTTGAATGTGGCCTGTCTGAGTGAGGCTTTATTTTGTTGTCTTTAAGTTTGAGCATGCTGAATGCATGTTGTGTTTGGATGAATCTTTATCAAGATGAACGCTTGCTACGATTGGACAAAACCTGATTGTGTTCAATGCATGTTGTGTTAGCTTGAAGCTTTATCATGCTGAATGCACATTTCGTTTGAGTAAGGTTTTATCATGATGAATGCATGTTTTGTTTGAGTGAAGCTTTACATGTTGAATGCGTGTTGTGTTTTGGTGCGACTACATACCGCTCAGCAGGATCCCATTGAAATGCAGGCGGTCAGCAGCTCTGCAGGAGATCCTGAATGGACACAAGAGATTACACAAAAACATTTGTTTTATATCATACTTTAGGCCTTTCTTTGACATCTACCCCCGTTTTCAGAGACAAGGCTTAAGCTAGTCCCAGACTAAAATGCATGTTTGAGCTGTTATAACTCAAAGTTATATCTTAAAATATGTCAGTATCTCGATATGTTTTATCGAGATGCACACCAGTAATGTGTTTTCTAAGGCATGTTTAAAAAAGTGACTTAAATGTCAAAATTAAACTAAAGCATAATCCTTTAGATTATGCTTCAGTTTAATCTAAAAGTCTGTGAAACTGGGCACTAATGTTCTTAAATTAATCTTAAGTAGAATCACTACACCCTAAACCATTGTAAAGTTATGTGTGGACATTATTAGTTAAGTTTGACCTCCACAATGGAGATGTCAGGTCTTCAGGAGGGACCACATAACTAACGTTACACACCAAATTAAGGTAATGCAATGCATGTTTCCTGTCCAAACATCTACATTAACTAAACATCATAAATCTGAATAACAATTTATCCAATAGGAATCTATGACCAATAAACCGAGTAAATGTCCAAATCTAGTGAGCTGCCTAACTAGGCAACATTTTCAGTACCAAACAAGGCTGTCGTCTAGGTAACTTAGTCAGTTCTCTTGGTTTGAGACACAGCCATTGAAAAGTAGGCTAACTCAAATTTGCCGGTAGCAAATGTAAAAAAAAACAAAAAAACTCAAGTGTATTTATATGCCAAATAGTAAACGATCTTAAAACGTTTGTAAACAGTGTCTTAAACCATTTGATAAATGTTTAGTATCAAATTATCGGCTCGAAATTCACTTTCCACTCATATACTAGCTTAGCTGCAGTGCTAAAAACAACAACAAACTCAAGGGAAACGTGTAGATTAGCGGACAAACCCGGATCAAACGTGCTGTAAATCTCATTAGTCACAAATCAGCAGATTAAACACAAATAATGGTGTCACCTTCATTCATGGACACTCTCGGGTCGGCTGTGATCATGTTCTGCCCGCTTTCATAACGCCTTAAACAGCGCTGTTACATAAAAGGACAAAGTGTTTGACATACACAGCTGCTGTTTGCACTATTTACCTGTTTTCAATAGATTTACTCTTTATTTACATTAATAATAAAACGATACATTTTAGATATAGCGTGCATTAAATAAAAATTTGGGTACATGCTATTTAAATAGTTAATCTAGCCGTTCATTACTTGCATATTTGTGAGTAATAATAATAATGCAGTCATTTCAGGGATCCTCCTGTATACAGATTGTAATAAAACAATTCAATATATCTGGGTCATTAAAATAAAGCTTCAAAAAAATGTGTTTTTTAAAATTCTTTTTTTAAAACTGACATAGGCAGTGCATATTTTTGAGTCATGAACAACGTGTGTTAAAAACACATTTCAAATAGTTAAAATACATTTCAAAGTGTATTTTTTTAGTTTTTTTTATATATTTAGTAGTAATAGTTTTTTTCACCGTATATATATATATATATATTTTTTTAAAATAGTTTTCTTAGTCTGTTCATTTGTTCGGACAGTTGCACCACCTGACATTTTGGGGGTTTAAGATAACAAAATATAAAATAATATTTAAAAATACTATTCAAACTGAATAGGTTTTATAGAATTAAATGATATATGTCATGAATTTATCAAATTATCTGAAAAGGATATAATGCACATGGACACAAAAATATGCACATCTCGTTGACCCATTCACAATAAAACAGTACATTATATATATATATATATATATATATATATAGAGAGAGAGAGAGAGAGAGAGAGAGTGAGAGAGAGAGAGAGAGAGAGAGAGAGAGAGAGAGAGAGAGAGAGATAAATATATATAAATGTATAATGGATAAAATAAACATTTCAACCAGGCTCTAAATGTACTCTTTTGTCACACTCACGATTAATGACAGCGTAAATTGAGAAGGGGGGAAAAGTCAATAATTTTTTTTTATTGGCCATGAATTTTAAACAGTACATGTGTTTGTGCTGTTGTCACAATGATATGGGGGTTGTATAACTCCCGTACTGAATTTTGAAGACACGGCAAAATCCAACTGGGCACTTACTAGGGCACATGGCTAAAACATTGAACCGTCGCATCCATGGGTCAGTCTGATCGTCTTGAGAAAAAAAGGACATGCTTCACATAAGCAGCAAAAAAGTAATTTATTTTCTGCCCACTTGCATAACTGAATGCTTGAAGACAAGAGAAAGTGAAAAAAAAAGTTGAAGAGAAAAAAATAAATCTTTGCAATTCTGTCTTTGGTGTTATGATGAAAGACTCTCCACCTTTAAAAAAACAAATAAAAAATAATGGTGATTCCTAACTTATAATATGCCCATAAATATGAACAGGTAAATGCATTACTGACCTCAGAGAAAGAAGGGAAGAGATGATCGAGAATGTAGGCAGCTTTGAGACGTTGCTCTTCTTCACTGTTATACTGAATCGCTTCCAGCTGAGGAACACCATTTAACCTCGTAAACTCCTCAATCACCTGTTACAAGCAGGAGCACTTCAACTCAATTTGCTCGTCAAGTGATTCTATGAATGAATCGTCATACATAGATCAATGTAAACCGATTTTAAATGCGGGATTATCATAGTTAACGAAATCTGAAACCATAAAAAAAAAACATACTTAAATGTAAATAAAATGAAATTTAACTGAAATAAAATAAAATTCAGCCAGTTGCCCAACACTTGTAATTTTCATTTAGTTTAACTTGATGTATGAAAATAACTATAGCTAAAATAAATTCATAGACATAAAAATCTAATAAAGATGACAAAAACACAAAATTATTTACACTTTAAAATTTAAATGATACAGGAACATAAAAAAAATCCAAAATACTAAAGGTACATTATGTAGATTAGGCACAGGTTAGTTGGCACAACGAGTGAGAAATGTTGACATGGATCAGCTAAAGAGAAGAAAAACGCAGAACAGAGGACAGTCTGCTGGCAAAATATAATGAGACAGAGCTCGTAATAAAACCAGAATCAACATTGGCTTGGCTTTTAGGAGATGGCGAGAACTGAAGGATTTGGATTGTTCTAAAAACGATGGAGATGGTGTTTATCACTCAACAGGTGAGTAATGTTTTGTATTTTATTAAACAGATAAATTCGTAGCTCTCTAACATAAAGCATTATCTATTGTGAAGGGTCTTATTCATCCGCACAATCAAAATGCATGCAGATTTGTTTAACCGCCAAAAGTTACAAAATGCACCTTTAATAAAACTATAATAGTCTCTCAATGATACTAAAACAACAGTGTTTAGGTGAGACAGGATTCGTATATGATCACCCTCACCTGTGGGCTGCTGGATAGCAGCATGTACAGCACTTCCAGGCTCAGCGTCACCACTTCTGGCTCGGCCATCTTGAGTGTGGCACAGAGGGCGCTGAGCAGCCCTGCTTGTGTCAATCTAACACAGTATTCTGTGCCGTGATGCGCGATATTACCCAGAACTCTCAGTGCCTTGTACAAACATAAATGGTTGTGAGAACGTTATATATGTATGTTATGGAAATGTACATTTTTATGAATGAGTATAGTAGACTAAAGCAGCAGGGAGATAAAACTGTTTATGACAATGGTTACCATTTTATGGCACAGTATTACATAGCATTTTCACCTTTAAAAAATGGTTTAAAGCCAATTATTAATATCTTTCAGTAGGAAATATCAGTTTACATTTCCAAACATTCATTTTGCCATTGATTATACAGTAATAATCCAGTGAGATTTTCGGAGAAAACGGAGACAGACTAAATCCAGGAGAACTGTGGCAATGTCTGAAAAACTATGCAGGTGTATCAGGACAAAAGCTGTTTTAAATGCAAAGGGTGCTCACACCAAATATTGATTTGATTTAGTAAATAGAAGTTAATAGATAAATAAAATCTTTTTATAACATTATTTTTGGAAGCATCATCACTTTACAGCATTTTTTGTACCTATAATCACAGAGAAACTTGATGATGGTGAGATCAGATCTGTGTGTGGATCATAACTGGCTGTTGTCAGACTCCCTGTGCATACAAAAATTAATAGCAAAATTAATGTTTGGAAATGTAGACTTCAATAGATATAATTACCTGGCTTAAAACCATTTTGGGTGAAAATACTAATGACTTTTGCACAGTACTGTGTATATACACCTCATAGCGGATCGGAGTCCAAAATGTAGGTCTATATGTTAGAGTGATGTATATATGCATGCCTGTTCCTCACCATTGTGTTAATTCCTTTCGAAAAAGACAGAAATTGGATCAATATGGGAACCATGTTGAGGAGCAGCAGGCCAGAGCAGAACCCACTTGAACCAACTGAAAAATAAATAAAATTGTATAAATCGCAGTCATAATTGTGAGAAATGAGTTTTCTCCAATAAAACACAAGTTAGTTTGAGTTTTTATGTGGAGTTAATTGAGATGAGCAAATGCATGCTAATGTCCTGCTGACCGGTGAGGTTGTTGAGCGCCCACAGGCTCTCTCTGGACAGAGCAGGATGAAGGTGAAGGTAAGTCTGACTGAAAACACACAGCGCAGCGAGGAGACGAGTGTCCTCTGGCATTACGTCACCTCCACTGACCAGCAGGTTACCAAGGCAACGCAGAAGAGGCCAAATGAGCTGCACAGCAAAAAAAAAAAGTCAGGGTCTAAAGGAAAGCTCTGAGTTCTATGAGCTTTTCAGAGACTCATCAGGAGCCACATGATCATATTGCTGATAAACTGTGCAATTTGAACTGTTTGAGAGCTGAAGGTCAAATGTTATTGTATGAAAGTACAACTATGACATCAGCATCTATACCATAATTCCATTATGCTTCATGAGATTCAAGAAATAATGTAATGGTGAGAATTCATTATACAGTGGGGCCAAAAAGTATTTAGTCAGCCAGTTTTCCTACTTAGAATGATGAGAGAGGTCTATAATATTCATCATAGGTACACTTCAACTATGAGAGAGAAATTGAGGGGGGGGGAAATCCAGGAAATCACATGGTCACATTGTAGGAAAATAAGTATTTGGTCAAAATACAGTGTGTGCAAACCTGGTGAAGACTTACAGGAAACGTTTGACCTCTGTCATTGCCAACAAAGGTTATGTTATAAAGTATTGAGTTGAACTTTTGTTATTGACCAAATACTTATTTTCCACCATAACTTACAAATAAATTCTTTAGAAATCCCACAATGTGATTTCCTGGATTTTTTTTCTCTCATTTTGTCTCTCATAGTTGAAGTGTACCTATGATGAAAATTATAGACCTATCTCATCATTCTAAGTAGGCGAACTTGCACAATCAGTGGCTGACTAAATACGTTTTGGCCCCACTGTAACAACATTGATATTATTGTAAATTAATATAGGCGCTGTTTCTGTTCAGTGAACATGCCAATTTAAAATTACTCTAATTTTAACCAGATTTGCAGTTATGTAGGTGATGTCGATAATAAACATTTTGCTGTGATGGCTTACCAACTCCAGTCCACCCTCAATGTTTCCTTGAGCAACAGCGCCTCCTAGTGTGATCAAAACAGCACTGCACTGTGAGAGCGCGCCTTGTGCAATCAGCCTTGAGTTATCCAAATTACTGCAAGCAAAACACAAACGTCATGTCACACATCAAATTATTTTTTACCCACTAGTCACCTTTTGTTCCAGAACTTACATTATCTTGCAGAACTGACACTAAACAGGTTTAGAACAATTCTCCATTATTGAGTAAAACGTATGAAAGGAGAAAAGGCCACACCTGCTGACTAAATAGTGCAAACACCACATGCACTCGATCGCTGGCCCAAAACCAAACTCAGGATCTGGAGTCAATGCTGAGATCACATGAGGGACTATTTCTGAAGCCATGACCGCTCTGGGGTTTAAAACACACAACGGACACAGAGAGAAGAGTGGCATGTTGAGATGAATATCCTATTTGTCCTTGGCATCAACAAGAGTAAACTAGCAATTTCAGCATTTCGAGACCTCAGCTCATTTGTTCCACATACAACCCCAGGCCAAACTTATGGAATCACCACACTTAGAGGATGTTCCCAGATAATATTTTACTTTATTAACAAATAAACAAATCACAGATATGAACCAAAAATATTTTTTGTTCAATAGCTTAGCATTCTGGCTTTATGAAACATCTAAAAAAAAAAAAAAATTCAGATCAAGTAAAGGAAAAAAGTATGGAATCGCTCAATGTTGAGGACAACATTATGAAATCATCATTATAAAAAAAAAAAATTATAATAAAAAGAAATTGTATTTTCTCTCGCTCTCCCTCCCTCTGACTTTTATGACTGCCTAAATTCAATCTTTTTTAACTGGTGACTAATTAACATTGATCTGGAAAAAAAAAAAACATGCCATTATGTGTTTATTATGCTATAAAGTAATAAAGCAAGGTAAACATCCACTAAATGTGGTGATTCCATAACTTTTGCCAGGGGTTATACTAAAAATCTTAACGTAACAAGCTCTGGTCACTTACGGGATGATTTTTTCAGTTGCGTCTTTGGCTTGTAGCAGCTGAGACAAAGTGAAACCAACCGCCTCCACCACTGCCAGATTATACCTCTGATTCTAGAACAGAGAAATCACCCGGTCACATTTCACCCCAAAATCAAAAGAAAGAAAAAATCTAATATTTCAGATAGACACACACGTAATTTTCATCATGCAAATTGTAATTTTGGAGAGAAAAAAAATGATGCAGAAAAGTTTTGGTGAGATTCATCCTATAAGAATGCACCACCATCCGTATTTATGCCAAGACTTGTGTTTAAAATTCAGGTTGATTATAACCAGTAAGAGTTTACAGGCACAAAAGTGACCCAAAGGAGCTTACGTGAATACAGTTTGCCAGCGCAGAAACGATTCCCTGAGCTAGAAGCTTCTCTCTAACTACAGTGCTTTCAGGACACAGATTTCCCAAAGTGTATAAACAGAGTTCCTAAAGGAAAAGACAAAGGAGACAAATTCATGAGGAATGATGGATTGCATCCCTCTGACAGTGACTTTAAAGCGGTAACTCACTGACCGTTAGCTTGGTGCTCTGGCTGGAGAGGTAGGTGAGGAGGTACGGGCCTGCAGGCAGACAAGCCTGACCCACGCTGGGTTGAGTAGAGTGAGACAGCTCATGGAGACAGCGTGCTGCTTCCAGCTGACACTGGGCATTATGAGCACTGAGCTGCCCGATCAACATGTGCATGCTGTTCTCGGATCTGAAGGAAATAGAGGCACTCCTTTAGGAAGTACAGTATTTATGGCTACATGGCTATCCAATTATTTTATAGACTGTGAATTTGTATATACGTCTTATTCACGGCAGCGCCATCTTTGATTTTTAATGAGAATGAAAGCGAGGCTGTGAGGGATAGACTTGCATCTCTTCAATGGGCTCTACTATTATTTAATGTGTTTTCGGATTGTTCTGCTCATGAAACACTGGAAAAATATCTTTCCAAGAAATGTCAGTTGACAAAAAACTCCTGACAATGCAAGCTGTGGAAAATTGTAAGTACTCTAGAAGCTTTATTCAGCTTTTTACAGCGCATGCCATTGGAAACACGGTAAGTCTATCCCTCACAGCCTCACTTTCATACCCGTCATGGCACTGCTCTGAATAAGGTCTATAGGCCTGCTTAAATAAGGTGGAGTAAGCTTCGTGTTGGTTTTGAGGTTATACTTAATGAAAGTGAGTTGGGTCTCTGGGTTTCTTAGTGCTTTTCTTAGAGATGCGAGACGAACTGCTTTCTCCTCTCCCCCAGACTGGACTCCACGTATCAACTCTCTGACCTAATGTTAAACATACAACACACAGTAAATACACAAGCAATGTGACATCATGTGTAGTTTAATAAATGAACTCTGAAAACTCACCTGTTCAGGTGACAGAGGGGTGGAGCCAGTCTCCACTGAGTCTTCCTCATCCACATTCTGCAGGAGTCTCTTACTGATGAGATGGCTGTCTCTACGTGCCTGTCTAAGAGCTATGGATAGATGAAAGTGTCAATAATGTATTATGTTGCCAACATTAAAGCATATAAAATCAACATGACAGGGTTAAAATAATATAGAGGTTACACTTACACACCTTTCTCAAACTCTCTTCTCTTGCGTTTAAACTCCTCCAAATCACTGGCAGACCCACTTGCTTTGTGGTGGAGGGTTTTCAATCTCCACATCTTTATGATTACTGCATCCAAATGCAAGTTTGCGCCCTGAATATCGTATTAGTTTGTTACAAACACTCATTTCATACTTTAACGTATTTTGTCAGCCTGGCTTGATGTTGATATTTTTTAACGAGAAGTTCTCGTCGAGGACAGTGAAACTAATATTTCAAAATAAAAGTTCCCCATGAACCGGCGAATGACCTCCATAGAACAATAATTATGTTGTTTTTATTATTATTATGAAATACATGGTTGTGAATAGATCATTTACATATATTTTACAGGACGTTCCTTTTTACCATCCCCTCCAAATACATATTAAATATATGTATCTTAGTATCTATAAGTCTATGATCCTCTCACCACGTGTGACTTTTAATTTGAAAATGTCAAACCTGTCTCATCTGACGTGTTTGGCTTCACACCTCTCTTGAGAAGATTCGAGTAAACGCTCTCAATTCATCTCAATGCCATTAGTAAATAAATTCAGAAAACAACTAGAAGTTCATGTACAGTTTCTAGGTAAGTGTCTATGGAAATGCGAGCTTTTACAGTGTGAATAAATCTAGACTTTAAAGGTTTTTATTTGTCAACACAACATAAAGACCACATGTTTCCACAGCATGATTTCATTTAATGTACAGTAACTTACTGTTACGTTTTTATTGGTGAAATGATTTGCTTTTTGAATAATATATTTTATAATGATCATGAATATAGTGGCCACTGGTTTCCAGGGTGTCAGGATATGGTTTGTGTGTATGTTGACGAGGCATTGCAAAGGAACACACTGTAACTGAGTTGGCCTAAGGTGATCATTTGATATTTGAAAAAGTACCACTTTGTTCTTCTTGACAGTTCACATGCGTTTTCTCATATACCAATTCTCAATTTTTCAAATAAACAAAAGTTTACTTTTTTTTTCAGGTGACCGGTTTTTCAGAGGTTTATATCCACCATGTCAAAGGCAACCAAACGCAAACACGTAGTCAAAGAACTTCTGGAGGACTATATCACACCCACTGAAGACCAGAATATCATGAGGGTACAATTGCAGTAGTTTTTGAGATATGTACACCTTTGAGAACCCTATATTCTGATTATACTATGTTAGTAATAATTACACACCACCTCCTCATCACAGGTCTTGGGAAGTAATGGCAATAACCTCCATGAAGCTGTGACTGGCAGTGGCGAGCGCTACCTCGTCAGTATGCCTACTAAGTTTCGCAAGAACCTCTGGATCAAACGAGGTTAGATTGTTCTGCCTTTCCTGGGCATTTAACAATTATGTTCTTAAAGACAGACACTAACACGTTTTCACAATCTTTCTCTATTTTTAGGAGACTTTGTCATTGTTGATCCTATCAAAGAAGGAGAAAAGGTGAAAGGAGAAATAAGCTTCATACTTTATAGGGACCACATTCAGTACCTGAGGAAACTTGGTGTCTGGTAAGGCCATTGTGTCCATCCATATTACTTGTATAATGTGATTAATAATTTTATATATAAACAAACATTATATTGTCAATCAATTAATCATACATTTTTCTATAATTAGTGAAGTTCACAACATAATTTCAGGAGGAGTGAACACATCTAATCTTTTAATTAACTGTCAGAGCATATAAGCAGCCGCTCACCTTGCTCTGGCATCAGCTGTTTTGGCATCCCTCCACCTCCCCAACTCCTCCTACATAATTTAGGCATCTTGCTACCATACTCATCATCATCCAAGCATTAGTAGTCCCACCGGGGGGGTATATCTAAACTCGAGTTGAAGATGCTTCCTCTAGCCCTTCCCCTGCGGACAACAAGCCAAATACGCTTAACCTCATTAGCTTAAAGATTATATGGACAAAGGAACTTGTGAAATTGCGATTAATCACACTCAACATTAAAGTTTTTAATAGATTTGTATATTGTAATAATTTCCAAATTATTGTAGAAACAACAAAGACAGTAGCCTTTTTAAAATATTAGTTTAAAGGCATCTTTTGTTAGAAGAACAGTATGAGCGATATTAATACTGCTACTGATATCTATTAAATAGATTTGTCCTCCTCAATTTTAGCCATTCAGCATTACAGTATAATTAAAAGTCATCATTTTTAACATTTGTTAGGCTATAAAAAACATAATCATTTTCCAAGCTACAAAAGTTATTCAGTCGATGATTTTTTTTGTTTTTGTTCTTTGATTATCCTTAAAGGAGTAGTTAACTTTAAAAAAAACTTTTGCTGATAATTTACTCACCCCCATGTCATCCAAGATGTCCACGTCTTTCTTTCTTCAGTCGAAAAGAAATTAAGGTTTTTGATGAAAACATTCCAGGATTTTTCTCCATATAATGGACTTCAATGGGAACCAAACGGTTCAAGATCCAAATGAGAGTTTCAGTGCAGCTTCAAAGGGCTTTAAACGATTCCAGACAATGAAAAAGGATCTTATCTAGGACCCTTCGAGTCATGACACAAAAAAAGATTTCAATGAGTTCGAACAGGAGAGTCACGAACGCTCATCACAGAACAGAGCAAGGCGAGCATTTGTGCTTATAAAACTTAAACTTTTGCATGTATTTTTGAAATGAGCGATCGTTTCACTAGATAAGACACTTATTCATCGTCTGGTGTCGTTTAAAGCCCTTTGAAGCTGCACTGAAACTCTCATTTGGACCTTGAACCATTTGGTACCCATTTGGTACCCATAAGTCCATTATATGGAGAAAATCCTGGAATGTTTTCATCAAAAACCTTAATTTCTTTTGGAATGGAAAAAGAAAGACGTGGATATCTTGGATGACATGGGGGTGAGTAAATTATCAGCTAAAGGTTTTTTTTAAAGTGAACTACTCCTTTAATGACAGACGAGCAGCGAGTTTATTAGGCTGCTGTCACTTTAAGACCTGTCACAACTGGAATCCTGCTCACAACTCTTTACTTCATTTAACTCCTTTAAGACTGTGCTTGTGTAGATACTCGACAAACTGGGCATTTTGAGTTTAGTAAACCTCATTTTCACACTTCACACAGGCCAGCAGGATTCCAGGAGGATCGCACATCCGATGAGAGGAACGAGGAAACACCGAAAGAAAGAAGTGAAAGAAAAACCGAGGAGGAGGACAGCGACTCGGAGGACGACGACAGTGATCTTTTCGTGAACACCAATCGTGCCACTGTTCTCTACAGTGAGAGTGAGGAAGAGACTGATGAAGATGATGAGGAAAAGGAAGATGAAGGAAGAGCATAAAACAAGCCAACTGCAAACGATACTGGACGATGCTTACTCTACAGCATGACCAAGACCAGTTTTCTATGATAATGAACCTTAATTGGGTTTAAAACAAACACATTTTCAGAGCTGAATCATTTCTCTCTAATGGCTTTCAGATGGTGTTTCTGGTTGAGTTTGGTTTCCAATCTAAAAGTCATTTTTGTTTCATTAAAAGGAAACAGAGTATGTATCATAATTCTTGTTAATAAGGTTTTGTAATAAACTTTTTGTATGCTTCTTGTTTGGCCAATTATTTTGTCAATATAAAAACATTATAGACCTTAATGTGACCTCGTAATCTTCTCTTTACGGCACAATATGGAAGTAAAGATCTGATGCTTGTTCGGTTTCGTCGCATCTGTAAAAAGAGGTGAAACTTGACAACAAAAATTCAAATAAAGCATCATGCAATGCATAACATCAGTTTTCAAGTTTTCGGGGAGAAAGGAAAGCGATTGAGAACTGATTTCTGTCTGCTAAACCCAACTTTAGTTTCGACTCTCAGAGTTGCGTTTCTGCATTCAAAACTGGGCATCGATGTTTCAGTCCAAAGTTGGAACATCTCAGCTGGGCTACGCTTGTGCACCAGGAGGATGGTGTGATTCGCACAGGGTTTCTTGAGCTCGTTCTTGGGGAAGTCAAAGGTAAGGAAGGCAGGGTGGTGGATAGGGTACACTCCCAGTCTTTGAAGACACATGCCCAGATAGACATCATCAATGGGGAACAGGTGAACCTTTTGTGACACCTCCAAAAGCCTATGGGCCAGAGAACCAGAGTAAACCACCCCCCCTCCACCAGGATATGACGGGTAAGTCCCTTTAAAGAAGCTCTCCGGAATGTAGTACTTACTCCCATTGGAGCGTATAGGTGATGCGTTGTTTATCACGTCCCCCACAACAAACGTCTCCATTTTATTTGGCCGCCTGGATCCATTTGAGAAGTTTTCATTTGCCTCCTCGGCCAGCAGATAGTTTAGGAGAGCAGGCGTCCTCACAAAGATATCATCATCACCTTTAAAAATGAAGCGGGCATGTGGGCATCGCCTTGAGAACCAGTCCCAGAACAGCACATCCTTCAGGGTGAGGTTAAATAACGTGTCCATGAAATCCCATTGGATGATGTCACCATATTTATCACTCTCTAATTGCAATTTCTCTTCAATATGCAAGTCTTTGGACTTCCCCAGAAGGAAGACCCTCCGAACAAGCCTTTGCCGCCCACCTCGGCTTTTTATTCTTCCTGAACGCCCCCAAGTTTCTCTTATCGCTTCTCTGTTCATGAAATCCGGAGGCTGAGCTTTGATAGCCAGGAGCAACATTGGTGCCCGATTCTTTGCTAGCGGACCACCATCACAAACATCTAAAGGATCTATTACCAAGGGATATTCTCGACAGTGCATGCTGGTCACAAAATCTTTTATCTGCGATGGTAGACTGAAGAAATCTGGCATTGTATTGTTAATCTCATAGTCTGGAGAGCATCCATTCCCACTTCTTCTGGACCTTTCTGTTTTGTAAGAAATACCGGGTGGGTTTGCAGCCAGATGTGGATTTAGGATGGGGTTATAGTGGGAATCTATCATAAACTGGATGATGTTCCATAGTGCTCCACTGTTTAGCTCGCTTCTCCAGAAAGATTTCACAGGATGGGGAGCCAGATCTCTGGAGTGGTTGAGACCACTGGCAGTAAAGTGTTTCTGCTGCACAGGATGAACACCAGGTGCACCGTGTGTCATGATATAGATCAGAACCATGCAGACATAGATGTAGATTGGGATCAGCAGTATGCACGGCGAAATGATGAACAGGATTCTCCAGCGGAACCGACACGAAGCCATATACTGAGGAAAAGAACATTTAAAGTTAAAACGGACCATCAAAATTGACCGTTTTATCTCGAATCACTCAGACTGTCAACACAGGTGTGACTAGTATGCAGCCTAATTAAAGATTAGTTAACTTGAAGTGTACTATTTTAAAACAACTAATTTTCTACTAAGTACATCACTTTGAAATTAATTTTTGATATATTTTAGCTTACCTTAAGGGCATCCAAGATGTAGGTGTCTTTGTTTCCGCAGTAGTTTCAATTTTGATATTTTTAGGTCAAACCGTTCTTGTCTGTCAGGTCTATGATCACCACCTCAAAGAGCATGCACAGAGAAGACCAAATTAAACATGATTTAATGACTTGAAACAAAGACAACTACATCTTGGAAGCCCTTGAAGTAAGCTGAAACACATCGAAAATTACTTTCAAAGTGAACTATCCCTTTAAATTGTAGTAAAGTATAACTTAAAGTTTATTTAGTGTACTTTTGTGTACTAAATTGGACCAACTTCAAGTAGTATACTTTAATTAATTATATTAAAGTGTACTTTTATTTGAAAATGACAAGTAAGTACATTACAAATTAATTAGAGTGTCTAGAGTGTCAACGTAAGCAATATACCATAAGTGTATATATTTTAATTTATTAAGTTGTGAATAAAAATATAGGCTCATTAATACATTGGCTTATTCCAAATGCTACAAATTGCATACTTTGTCTTCATTAACAAATGTACATTATTAGACAAATAAACTTAGCTAGTTGTAAAAAATACTATTGTATACTATAATGTGTTTTGAAAGTACTTCCAATGCATTGTTACAATGATCATTTCTAGCAGTTAAAATATAGGCTACCTAAAATATATTTTTTAGTAAAGTGCAAATAAATAAACTTTTAAAAAAGAAACAGAATTTTTCACTTCAAGTATATTTTTCTAAAATATATTGTTAGAAAATATACCAAAGTGTGCTAAAAGTTGAATTGTGAAAATAGTTAAAAGCACGATGCAAAATATTTTTAATATATTTAAAGATAATGCCATTTTCGTTAGTATATTTGCAATGTACAACGGAAAAATAAATATAAAAATGTAAAAAGCGAATATACACTAAAGTATAATTTTTTTCACTCGCTAGTTTTAATGAAACAAAACCATCGTGTGGGGAAAAAAATAATTATCTGAACCCCAAGTGGATTTACACAAACTGAGAAAGTCAAAATTTCAGGATATGCCCCGCTCTTCCCTATACTTATTGTACATTTGTTTTATTAAAATATTTTAAAATTAAATAAAAACCAAGGTGAGACTGCAGTTTTTCACATTCCTCGTGCTACTCTAAAATATTAAGGTAATCCACTACAATAGTTTTAATTCTCTCTTAATTATTTTATTGCTCCAACAACGAAATGAAACTTATATTTAGACTTACCACTATTCTGTTAAGTAGCCAAGGCGTATTTTTATGATGAATTTCACGTCATTCACGGAATAATAGGCCATACACATAAATAATGTACACGGAAAATAAAATGATATTATATGGATCAAGTGAAAACGTCTAATATCCAAACAAACCAAGAAGTAAGGTAAATTGTGTGTCGAGTCCTGCTGAGCGAGAGAATTGACCTCAGGTGTGTGAGGCCACACCCATTGATAGAGTTGCATAAGATAACAGATGCAGGCCAAGGGCTAGTTGTCACACGATTCACTAGTATATTTCTCATGTTTTCAAAAGTCAAATTCTATAAACACAAACCTTGTCTTGGGTACCTAAAAACAGGTGCAACCATGGACAGTAACCAACATGAAATTAATTTCTCAAAAATAAATAAATATGTTAATTAGGCCTAATTGTAGTTTTGATCTCAATATGTTTTTGTTTCATTTAAATCCTTTTATTTTTTCTTTTTTTTTTTTATAGATATATAGCAACCTCCACTAAACCCCGCCCTGCAATCCCCACTGATTATTGTAATAGCCTATATAAACACATGACACCACCCTGTCTCAGACAAGAGTTATCTTGGCTCATTTGACAGCTGTTTTTATGTTGCAGTTTAATTTACATAATGTTTGATGTTGTTTGACAAGTGTTGCGAGTTGACATCATGACTTGTTTCAGAGATCAAGGCTGTATTACCCAAAAGCATCATAAGCCTAAATTGAATTCAGAAGAAATATGCTTTTCATCAGTGACGATAAAATTATGAGGTTATGAGCTCACCACTCACCAAACCTTCTGGAACCAATCATGAGTAATGTGTTCTCATATTTTCTCGAGAAAACAAGCCCACAACCACAAATACTACACTCACCTGAAGAATTCTTAGGAACACCTGTTCAATTTCTCATTAATGCAATTTAATTAAAACAAATCACATGGCAGTTGCTTCAATGCATTTAGGGGTGTGGTCCTGGTCAAGACAATCTCCTGAACTCCAAACTGAATGTCAGAATGGGAAAGAAAGGTGATTTAAGCAATTTTGAGCGTGGCATGGTTGTTGGTGTCTGAGTATTTCACAATCTGCTCAGTTACTGGGATTTTCACGCACAACCATTTCTAGGGCTTACAAAGAATGGTGTGAAAAGGGAAAAAACATCCAGTATGCAGCAGTCCTGTAGGCGAAAATGTCATTTTGATGCTAGAGGTCAGAGGAGAATGGGCCGACTGATTCAATGGGCTATATGCACGCATAAATTCCGCATTTGACGCAAGGATGCTCGTCCATTTCCGGTTGTGGAGATTAAAGCGGAGGAAAACCGAGGAAAACGGGATTATGGCAGAGTATTTAAAATTTACTGTCCTCCAGTCTTTGAAATGAAACGTACATATGTTTAGATGTAATTTTATATATAGTTATATTTATTTAATATAATTTTAAAAAGAAGCATAAACACAACGAGGGGTGTCTGTTATATCTGTTTTTGTGACTAACGTTTCTTTAGTATAACCATGGAGTATAAAATTCATTATAAATTCTCGGTATTGCATTGGACTCTACGATCGGCGGAAGTTATCGAGCATCCCTAATGCTTCACCGGAAATACCGCCGTGCATAGAGCCCATTTACAAGAGCTCACTAAAATTGGACAGTTGAAGACTGGAAAAATGTTGCCTGGTCTGATGAGTCTCGATTTCTGTTGAGACATTCAGATGGTCGAGTCAGAATTTGGCATAAACAGAATGAGAACATGGATCCATCATGCCTTGTTACCACTGTGCAGGCTGGTGGTGTAATAGTGTAATGGTTTTCTTGGCACACTTTAGGCCCCTTAGTGCCAATTGGGCATCGTTTAAATGCCACAGACTACCTGAGCATTGTTTCCGACCATGTCCATCCCTTTATGGCCCTTTATCCTCTGATGGCTAAATCCAGCAGGTTAATGCACCATGTCACAAAGCTTGAATCATTTCAAATTGGTTTCTTGAACATGAAAATGAGTTCACTGTACCAAAATGGCCCCTACAGTCACCAGATCTCAACCCAAGAATAGAGCATCTTTGGGATGTGGTGGAACGGGAGCTTCGTGCCCTGGATGTGCATCCCACAAATCTCCATCAACTGCAAGATGCTATCCTATCAATGTGGGCCAACATTTCTAAAGAATGCTTTCAGCATCTTGTTGAATCAATGGCATGTAGAATTAAGGCAGTTCTGAAGGTGAAATTTGGCCAAACACAGCATTAGTATGGTGTTCCTAATAATCCTTTTGAGGCCCTCTATTCAGCTAAGCTGCAGCGCCTTTTGATGAAGACTGCCCCATTTCTGGCTTTAGCACCCGTCAATTACGTGAGTGACCTGCAGGCCCTCTTGGTGAGTGCATCCTGCCTTAAGTTTGGGCCAAACTGCAAGCCGAAGCATGGCTATGTACGGTACCTTAAGTGCTCTCCACTCTGTTCAGAGCACAGGTCATTATTCTCTCTGCTCTCTCCTCTTTGCAAGATGAGCAGTCCTTATACCTACTCTGCCCAGTCTGGACTCCTCAGAGTACATGTTGAGCGCTCTAGCCATTTCTGACAATCAGAACAGCTTTTTATGTGCTTCGGACGACACACTAAGGTGCTGCCGGTTACAAAGCGAAGACTATCTTGTTGGATAGTGTACGCAATGAAACTTATGCGATGGCTTAGCATGGACCATTCTTCAGTGTCCATTCTTGACATCTGTGTGGTGATCGGATAGTCCTCGCAGTCTTTGTCAGGTTCCATAACTTGGACTTCTCTGCCCTTCAGGCACAAATCCTGTCTGCTTAAGCAAGTCTTGGACTTCTGTGGGGTTTAGTCTGCTTAGGGCATTATGCCTCATACTGGGCATGCCTCATATCAAGGGCTTTGGCCTCATGGCCTGAGCCTAGCTATTCTAAGCAATTTCTTGCCTTGCACTCGGTATTTTTCAGCCTAGTATTGTCCATGAATTGCCTGTTTAGTGGCCTGGACTTGAGTGCCCTAGGGCTGGGCTCTGGGCTCACAGGATGGGCTTCCGTTCTGCATTTGTTGCACGGAGATAATGGAATGCGTTCCCCAAAGCTTTAGCAACTGACACAATCCGAGTGAACCATATTGAAGGGAACCTTGGTTCACTAGCATTGCATAGCTGGCCATGCTACCGCACTTGATTCAATGCTTAAAAAATTAAACTGAAAATGACAACTATGGAGACCCATACTCAGAATTTGTCATTCAACCCATCCAAGTTGGTGCACAAACATTAGGAGCAGTCACCCTGAACATACACACACTGCCTCAAGGGTACCTCAGTCCTTTCCTGCCGGTGTTGAGAATTGAACCCGCAAACTTCGGGTTACCAGTCTGACTCTAATCACTAAGCCATGACTGCCCCTAATGCTTGCTACTCCTTAGATTCTGATGAAATGCATTCATCACTGACTTTGTGATTTAACCTCTCTATTTCAGAGAAACATGAGTCCCCCAAGGAGTAACTGAGATGTTTTCTAGTTACATATTTATTTTCTTCCGAAATATCAGCAATAACTTCATGCAAGTATCCTCTGTGTATGTGTTCAGTGCATTCATCTGACTTCAAAAGTTTTTGCAAATTCATTGCTCTTTTTGGGCTTAGGACTTTATAATACTTTCCAAGCACCTTTATCTCTAAATTTCAAGGAACAGATGACTCCTCATGATATGATCCAGTCCTGTAACCAAACAGACACAGAAGAAGACTCTCAGAAGACACTCTCTGATATTAAAATAAGTTGTTAAACAATATAGGTTTTTCCAATGGCCAATTGTAAAAATTGTACCTTCAGTCCTCTCTAAAATTGAACATGTGGTTGGTTGCATCCCTGATGCAACTCCTTAAGTTCTGTCAATGAAGAATGTTGTTCCCCTGAAAATATGTTATTTTAAAGACACAAAAACTTGATCTTCCAATGAAATGCAAAATTCTCTTCACGGCATGATATGGATCTGCCACTACTTCTATTTTATCACAACTTAAATGTGTTAAAAAGATTGCAAATTACAAATGTTTATACAAAAGTAAAATCAATGGATAACATTATTTCTTCAAGTGTTAAAAAAAAGTATCATCTGAGCTCAACTCTACGTAGTGTCGACTCTCAGAGTTGCGTTTCTGCATTCAGAACTGGGCATCGATGTTTCGGTCCAAAGTTGGAACATCTCAGCTGGGCTACGCTTGTGCACCAGGAGGATGGTGTGATTCGCACAGGGTTTCTTGAGCTCGTTCTTGGGGAAGTCAAAGGTGAGGAAGGCAGGGTGGTGGATAGGGTACACTCCCAGTCTTTGAAGACACATGCCCAGATAGACATCATCAATGGGGAACAGGTGAACCTTTTGTGACACCTCCAAAAGCCTATGGGCCAGAGAACCAGAGTAAACCACCCCCCCTCCACCAGGATATGACGGGTAAGTCCCTTTAAAGAAGCTCTCCGGAATGTAGTACTTACTCCCATTGGAGCGTATAGGTGATGCATTGTTTATCACGTCCCCCACAACAAACGTCTCCATTTTATTTGGCCGCCTGGATCCATTTGAGAAGTTTTCATTTGCCTCCTCGGCCAGCAGATAGTTTAGGAGAGCAGGCGTCCTCACAAAGATATCATCATCACCTTTAAAAATGAAGCGGGCATGTGGGCATCGCCTTGAGAACCAGTCCCAGAACAGCACATCCTTCAGGGTGAGGTTAAATAACGTGTCCATGAAATCCCATTGGATGATGTCACCATATTTATCACTCTCTAATTGCAATTTCTCTTCAATATGCAAGTCTTTGGACTTCCCCAGAAGGAAGACCCTCCGAACAAGACTTTGCCGCCCACCTCGGCTTTTTATTCTTCCTGAACGCCCCCAAGTTTCTCTTATCGCTTCTCTGTTCATGAAATCCAGAGGCTGAGCTTTGATGGCCAGGAGCAACATTGGTGCCCGATTCTTTGCTAGCGGACCACCATCACAAACATCTAAAGGATCTATTACCAAGGGATATTCTCGACAGTGCATGCTGGTCACAAAATCTTTTATATGCGTTGGTAAACTGAAGAAATCTGCCATCGTATTGTTAATCTCATAGTCTGGAGAGCATCCATTCCCACTTCTTCTGGACCTTTCTGTTTTGTAAGAAATACCGGGTGGGTTTGCAGCCAGATGTGGATTTAGGATGGGGTTATAGTGGGAATCTATCATAAACTGGATGATGTTCCATAGTGCTCCACTGTTTAGCTCGCTTCTCCAGAAAGATTTCACAGGATGGGGAGCCAGATCTCTGGAGTGGTTGAGACCACTGGCAGTAAAGTGTTTCTGCTGCACAGGATGAACACCAGGTGCACCGTGTTTCATGACATGGAGACATAGATGTAGATTGGGATCAGCAGTATGCACGGCGAAAAGATGAACAGGATCCTCCTCAAGCGGTATCGACACAGACATGAAGCCATATACTGAAGAAAAGAACATTTAAAGTTAAATGGACCATAAATGTATGTGTATATATATATATATATATATATCAATAGCGTTTATATCAAACCCCTTTCACACAGCTGGTTGATGGGAAATTGCCAGAGCGCCTTCTGTGTGAACGCAAACACGACCTGAGATTGATGCCAGGATCGATGCTAGGTTGAGGACCTAGTAACATTGCCGTGTTCATGCACGCTGTGTGAACAAAAGCCGTAATCAATGCCGTGTGGTAATGATGACGCTAAAGTGAAGCGAAAGCAGGCTAGTGAAATGATATGTAATGCGTAAAACTTAAGACGCTGCTGAGACGTTACATGTCACGTCGATGTCACGTGTCTTTACGGGATTTTTACGGGTTGTGTGTGAACGCACTCCCTGATTCCGGAAATTCACTGGCAGTGTGAATGAACCAAAATCAAACGAACCCGGGTCAAATCCCGGGTCACTTTATCTGTGTATTTTCCGGAATCTCTGTGTGAAAGGGGCTAATGACGCAGACCGTCAACACAGGTGTCTATAGTATTTATTATACAAGATTACTCAGACTTTAGTAAAAATCAACAAAAAAATACCCATGGAAACTCCAAAGTTTCCACCAAAATACCACAATGATTAATTCATTAATGTGGACTTTCTTCTTCAGACAGTGTAAGAATCTTTCAAAGTGTTTTAATAATAATAATATTAATAACAATTATCATTACCAATTTAGTGGTGGCCAGGGGGAAGCACATAACACTTATGATCGAATCAGAGAAAAAAAAAAGTATATTTCACACTAAACTGTTTTACTCTAAATCAGATTTTATTTTAATACATAATTAGCCTATTATACGTTTATTTTATTAAAACTGATTTAAGTTTCAAAAAATAATTAAATGTAAAACAAAACTAAAAATAAACATTTTAACAGAAAAAAACGATATGAGACTGCAGCTTTAACTTAATTTCCCACTAATGCTGCTCCATAAAAGGACTGAAATACACTATCGTTTTCTGTCTTTTTGATCATTTTATTGTTCCAACAACGAAACGAAAACAAAGCTGCAGTTACTTAAACTACTAATAATTAGACTTAAGACTTACCACTTTTTTTTTTTTTTTTTGGTTATGTTTTTGATGATGAACTAGGCATCGTTTGATGATGAATTCACACAATATTACTCGTAATATAAATAATGTATACGGAAAATAAAATAAAATTATATTATATGGATCAAGTGAAAACGTCTAATATCCAAACAAACCAAGAAATAAGGTAAATTTCCCAGTGTGTCGAGTCCTGCTGAGCGCGTGAAGTGATCTCAGGTGTGTGCGTGTGTGAGGCCACGCCCACGAGTCAGTTGCATGAATATAACAGATAAACTGGCCGGGGGGGGGGGGGGGGGGGTAGTTGTCACACTTTTTACTCTGGATTAGAGAATGTTTCTCTTATTTTTAAAAGTCAAATTCTATAGACACAAACCTTAAAGTCTTGAGTATCTAAAAACTATGGAACAGGAAAACCATGGACAACAGCCAACATGTCATTTCATGAAAATAAATAAACAAATCTGCATTAAGTTTTCTGACCTCAACGTTAGTTTAACGTTAAGTTTAAAACTATTTTTTAGATACAGCAACCTTCACTCATGACACCAAGCCCTGAAATCCCCAATTAATTATTATGTAAACACACATATGATTTCCACCATATATGTATCAGATATTTTTTGCAGACAAGAGTTCTCCGACTCATTCGACAGCTGTTGTTGTGTGTTGTGATTTAATGTACACAATGCTTGATGTTGTTTGACAAGTGTTGCGAGTTGACATGAATTGCATGGCCTATTGTTTCACAGATCTGATGATTTCTGCATTACAAAACAATATCATTCATTTTGATTAGAATCTAGAATTCAGAATGAAATGCTTTTCATCAGTGTACTGATAAAATGAGTGTGAGCTCACCTGAAACATTCTGTATGGAAACATTCATGAGTAAAACACTCTCTTCTTCTCTCTGGGAAACTCACCCATAGTTGTCTTCAGGCTGCTTGTTGAGAAATGTGTTACATATCAAACATATTTTGATAAATTATCACCACAAAAAAAAACGTTCTTTGACAGTCTTGGTCGAACAAGTTGAGCAGGTTGAGTGGAGGTCCGGGTCTTCAAAAGCCTTATTCACCCTTACACAAAATGAAGACCTCTTAAATCAGAGCAGAAAGTCATGGCATTAAATGTTGCATGCATTGCAAAAATGAATTTCTTCCTCCGTATATTTTTTTCAACACAAGTATCTAAACATCTTTGAATAATGATACATTTACTTAAGATGCAAACGTATTGGAAAATGAAACAAAAACGTGTTTAGTTTATGCTTAAAAGAAGAAGACATATCTGTCAATGAGTTATGAAAACTTCCATTTGAATTAAGTTTTTCTGAGCACATTGGCAGATATTTGTTCTTGTTTTAAGCCTAAAACTCACTTCATTTTGATTAATTTCACAGACTTCATATTTTTTGTTATTTTGTATCTCCAGTAAATGCATATTGATTATGATATATATATACACACATATTTTTTAACATCTAATCAGTATTGTTACTAATGTCAGTTAGTAAGCACTGAAAGCATTGACATTTTATTTAAATAAAATATTATGTAACTGGTATACATGTAGTTATAGCTTTAATATACTAGTTTGGGCTTTATAGCCTATGTTTAAAACATTATTTATTAAAAAAAATATATTTAATATTAGAAATATTCCCAAAGTGTCTTAAATCCAATGAAGAAATATTGTTCACCTGAAAGTGTTAAAAGGGTTGCAAATACATTGTCAGCATTTTGTTTTTCTAGCATTTCTTTTTCTCCCGAAATATCAGCAATAACTTTATGTAAGTATCCTCCGTGTATGTGTTCAGTGCATTCAAACGTTTCAAAACTTTTTTTGTGTCGAGGACGTGAGAGTACTTTTATCTCTAAATATCAAGGAACAAATGACTCCTAATGATATGATCCAGGCCTGATATTAAAATAAGTTGTTGATCAATACATGTTTTTCAATAGCCAATTGTTACCTTCAGTCCTCTCTAAAATTGAACGTTTGGTTGCATCCCTGGTGCAACTCCTTAAAAAGTTCTGTCAATGTTGTTCCCCTGAAAATACAGCATGTTATTATAAAGGCACAAATCATTCAGCAACAACAAAAAAGAGAAAAGAACCAGACATACATCCCGATGACTTCATTTTTTAAAATGGTAGGAATTAAGATTTATTTTTTTTCTCCATATGAACAAGTGGTTTGATTTTATTTTTAATTTTTTTTTACAAGTACTATTTTTTGAGAAAACTTGCAAAAATTTCTAGCATATTCCAAGTCAAGAATGAACATGAAAAAAAAGGAGATTTATTGCTGAATGTCAAATGAAAACTACACTTTCACCGTGTGAATACGACTCAGTTGCTGCGGTTACCATGCACCCATCTATCTGAACCACTAGAACATGCAGAGGGAGGGACGCCTTCACAGGCAGAGAGGAAGAACAGAAGAAACAGAGAGTAAAACAGGAAGAAAATCAATCCTTGAAGACGAGTGGTGCTTTAAACGACTGTGTGCACAGAATGAATCTTGAGAATGTGTGTGTGTGTGTGCATTTGCGTGTGTGCGCGAGTGTAAGTGTGTGGCTAACGGGGTTGTCTTCTCAAATGTAGTTGTAGGTTGCTGGGCTCTGGAAGGAGGGGTTTACACTCGATAAACCACCTAGAGTAGCACGTCTAGTAGCCGTACACGCATAGCTTCGACTTGCATACAGCACGGACTTGGAACGACCCCACCGGACAAAAAACGAAACAAAACAAGAAAGAAAAGCCGGCAAAACATGGAGCGTTCGCAGACAAACACACCTGGTCGTATCGTTCCTCGCAGTCTTTCCATCATGACGCAGACACGACGGGCAGGAATGGATCTGTTTCATGACTAATGCAGATTTCGATGAAAAGTCCTGAGACACAGTGCGGCTTAAAGCTGCTGGCATAGGAATGGGAACGTGTGGGAGAGAGATGTAGGTCCGTGTAGGCTAGAATCAGGCTGGATTGGTTCCTCCGCAGGCCAACGACTACACAAGGAAGGAAGGTTACAGTGCAATGAGCTCGTGTCACCACTAGGGGGTCCGGTTGAACCCATTAGCGCTAGCCCGGTGGTCACGTAACTGAGCTCCCTTTCGACAAAGCCAACATCCTAAAAAGAGTACAAGCATACGTACCGTATATACACACTCACAACAACACGCACACGCGCTCGAAACGTTAACCTGAAGACGAACACAACGCGAACGCACAAACGGAACGTGTTCTTGCACGAAACTGCGCGGACAAAGACACGTACACGTACACTGAGGTTCGACGATACTCTCACGCACACGGACAGAAGTGTAAACACATTCATTGGACGTACGGACCACCGTTTTGAAAACCCTGAACACCAGGGCCGATACAGCGACCCAGCGTCATGCCCTGTGAACTCCTGCGTACCTCTGTTTCCATGGAAACAATATGCGACGACCAGTTGAGAGAAAAGAAAACGGAATAGTCGAACGCAGACGGCGGTTATGCGCGCGCGTGAACCCTACTCATGTAAACAAACACCTTACACAGAAGTGATTTGATATTGCATGGTGTCTGAATAATATCACAGTTCAAATGGGGAGATCCTGAACGAACGAAACAAACGAACAAAGAAAGAACGCGTCTATAAAACCCAAGAGTCTGTTCTTAAGAAAGGCTACAAAAATTCAACTGAACCTCCCTCGTCGGCAAACAGCAAAAGGCACCACAATATTATTCTATGTCTAACTCGTGAAAAAATTTGCACGTAATTCTTCTTCGTAATGCTGTAAATCAAAAAAAGGAATTACATATAAATAGTTTTCCCCCTATAAAAAAAGTCTTTGCTGCTAGCTAGTAGACAATTTTTGCTGAAATGAAAATAAATATTTCATTTGTTTAGAATATCTGTCATATAAAATAAAAAATATTTCTCATAGGTGCAGGTCTATAGCATATCGTTTGTTTTTCGCGCCCTGTCCTCGCTCTCGTCGCTCTTTCTTAAAGGGGTGCATTGTCCGGTCTGGACCGCGACTGCGACAGTTTGTTGGCCTGCACGGTGCCACGGGAGCCGGAGCGCCCCGTGTTGCTGAAAGTCCGCGTGTCGTTGGGTCGGTAGATGGTGGCCGGTTCAGTGGCGTTCATGTTCTGCATACTGAGAAACGGCGTGCTCTCGCCGTGTCCGAGGTCGCCGACCTCGTCGTCCTCCCACTCGCTGTCCGAGAGGCAGCTTTGAGAGCTGTAGTTCCTGGGGTCCGGGGCCCGCTGGGACACGTGCCCGTTGAGCCGCGACCTCCTGCGCCAGTGCCGCCCGCTGCCCTTCTTCTGCTGCTCTCGGGAGGACATGTACTCCTGCGTGGTCTCGTAATCCTCGTCGTCCACGAAGCGGTACGGGCTGGACGGGAGCGAGCCGGTGCTGTCCGCCGCGTAATACGGCCGCCGGGACCGCCGGTAGCGGTGCAGGAGGGGCTGGTCGTCGTCCATGGCGGCGGTGGCGGCGGCGGCGGGCGGCAGGGAGAGGGCGTGGCTGGCGTTGGGCGTGGTGATCTGAAAGGTAGGCACCTGCGGGGGCAGTGAGGAGTGAAAGTCCACCGGAGAAAGACGCGCCGGCGTGGTCAGAGCGGACACGTACCTGTGGAGATGCAGGAAAACACACACTACGGTTCAAAGGTCTCTTATGCTCAACAAGGCTGAATTTATTCCATCAAAAACATTGTGTAACATTAGTACTATTGAAATTGAAGGAGTAGTTCACTTTTTAACGTTAAAAAACGTTTGCTGATAATTTACTCACCCCCATGTCATCCAAGATGTCCATGTCATTCTTTCTTCAGTCGAAAAGAAATTAAGGTTTTTGATGAAAACATTCCAGGATTTTTCTCCATATTATGCACTTCAATGGGAACCAAACGGTTCAAGGTCCAAAAGACAGTTTCAGTGCAAACTGTTCAAAGGCTTTAAACGATTTGAGAAGATGAATAAGGGTCTTATCAAGCGAAACAATTGCTCATTTAAAAAAAATAAAAATAAAAAAGTTTAAGTTTTATAAGCTCAAACACTTACCTTGCTCTGTTCTGTGATGCGCGTTCGTGACTCTCCTGTTCGAACTCATTCATCAAAATGAAAAAATCTTTTCCCGAGTCCCATTTTGTTCGTTGAATGAAACAAATGACTCGAAAAAAGATTCGAACAGGAGAGTCACGAAACGCGCATCACAGAACAGAGCAAGGCGACCATTTGTGCTCATAAAACTTTTTTATTTTTATTTTTTTTCTTAAATGAGCGATCGTTTCGCTTGATAAGACCCTTATTCATCGTCTGGAATCGTTTAAAAACCTTTGAACAGTTTGCACTGAAACTGTCTTTTAGACCTTGAATGGTTTGGTTCCCATTAAAGTGCATTATATGAAGAAAAATCCTGGAATGTTTTCATCAAAAACATTAATTTCTTTTCGACTGAAGAAAGAATGACATGGACATCTTGGATGACATGGGGGTGAGTAAATTATCAGCAAACGTTTTTTTAAAAGTGAACTGTTTTTTTGAATTTCTATTAAAATGTTATTTATTCCTGTGATGCAAAGCTGAATTATCAGCATCATTACTCCAGTCTTCAGTGTCACATGATCCTTCAGAGATCAGGAAACATTTATTATTATTACCAGTGTTTTGTTGAAACCATAAGACATTAAATTCAGTATTTTTGATACTTAAATGAACAGCATTTATTTGAAACCTTTTGTAACATGAATGCATTTACTGTCACATTTGATCAATTTAATGCATTCTTGGTGAATAAAAGTGTTAAAGGGTTAGTTCACCCAAATATCCTGTCATCATTTACTCACCCTCAAGTTGTTCTAGACCTGCACAAACTTCTTTCTTCTGTTGAACACAAAGGA